AGAATGGCTTAAAATCCCTCTGACCACTGTGCAGGACTTGTATATCTCATTCCCAAGACGAATTGACGCTGTATTGGCTGCAAAAGGAGGCCCTACACCATACTAATAAATTATTGGGGTCTAAAACCAGGTGTTTCACTTTCATTGTGCAACCCCTGTATGTGTTTAAGGTTTAAAGGTTAATGCATTTCCTGAGAAAATAAACGCCTTAAAATCTTTATTTTATCACTCATCTCTACCCGAAAATGCACCTGCACCGAAAATGGGATCCTACGCTACTTCCTGGAACTAACTTTTTTGGCTTTGGATTTAAACATAAATCTAGTCTTTTTGAGTTTTATGTTTTCCTTTCGTGCTAACATTATGGTATATAGTGTGTGGTCTAAAGAAAGAAATAACTAAAATGCGGATAAACATGGTTTAATTATATTTGGCTGGACTTCTCTAAGCATGTCCAATGATGACGTCAGAGAAGCAGTTTAACAGAGAAAATGTAAAATACATCAACAATGTATCAGAAAAATCTAACTTTTTTTTAAAGTTTCTTAACAATCTTTAGTGAGTTAAGTATAGAAGGAAGGGATTTTAGTACCGTTATTACATTATTTATGGAAACCTGGATATAGATATGTTTCCGCGCATGCACAGGACGGATTGTGCTTCCGGGATGGATCGGGTAGTGACAAGTGCAGCCATCCTGTTTGCTGCTTCCTTCTTCTAAAAAAAACCTGACTAAATCGAAAATAAAACAGCATGCTTGGATGTAAGGAGAACGTAGAGAGAGGAAAGTCAATGTAACGTGTATTACTAAGGGTATGCGGGCTTGACGCGGCATGCTGAGCTGACAGAACACCGAGCCGGAGCGGAGCAAATAGTCATCCCACATGGAGTACTTTCTTGTGATTGGCTTATACAAGGAAGTTCTGTGATTGGCTGCAAACCATCTCCTGTATAAAAAAATGCTTTTGTGTATCGAGGCACATCAAGAGAGTCTCAAAAATCCACACACAAATGCAGCGAAGTTTAAAGACCACTGGTACTTTGTAATTTCATTTATAATTGTTTATGGACCAGAAAGGCTTTGGTGAATCATGCGCTGTGCATGTGTGAATCTTGTATGCCTGCGTGAATTGTGCTGTGTGTGGAGCTTGTGCATGTATGAACCCCATATGTGTATTTGTGAAAATTGAGACAGATTTAGCTCCATAGTCTTGTTACATTAAATGAGAGTAAAATACAGACTCTCTCTCCAGCCCATTAGGTAGCAGTAATGTGCTCAGAGCGAGTCTGCTGCCACATAGAAGGAATGAGTGTTGCAGGTTGCTCCATGCATGTGAGCGTGAGATATTTCCCACATAACAGTAAAAACTCTGGAGGGAAAGAATTAAAGGATTAAAACTGTAAGAAAAAAAAAAATAAATAAATAAAATATTGTAACTGTTGACAAAATCATGCAAATCTTGGTAAAACAACATAGTTCTGTTCGGAGCTCTATAGTTCAGCCTTTCCAACAGAACAAACATTCAGTTTAAAGGGGTCACAGGAAATTGAACTTTTAAGACTCAGTTATCATTTTGAACCATTTAAATTATACTTCCATGAAGTTAAGCTATGCAACAATGGAAAATGCCCGGATATTGATCTCAGTTTGTTTTGGCGGAACCAAGAGTAAAGGAGGAAATTGTCACAGTAACCAGGGACTCAGGATGATGCATGTTTAGATAAACATCTTCCACCTTAACCAGAACTCATTCATTATTCAGACTCCCTCTGCTCCAAACATCAGACCTCAACCATCTCTGCTGCAGAAGACCTTCATCTGAAAGGTCTCCTTCACCTGTGAAGGAAACTTTGAAGCTGAAGATGGAGAAACAGGGCTTCCATCCCCAGAATGGGTCAGAAACCCATTCTAACTTATGGAAATCTGAATGAATCCAAAGAAGCGTCAATTTATTTGAGGACGGAACTCATTTATTGATATAAAAATGCTTTTAGATTCACTCCTCATGACTGTGATCGAATCATCCTATATCTCAGCTCCATCATTATGATCAGAACCTTTTAATACACTTCAAGTTTAAACTGATTAAACTCATTAAAACAAAGAAAAATGAAGCTGATTGCCAGGAAAAGAGAAGAAGTCCAGATGGAATCAGAATATCCGTAAGATCAGAGAGGAGAACCACCAGGTCCCAGTAAAACCAGCTATCAGCTCAATGCAGTAAAACAACTTCAACCAGCAACCAGGAAATAGAAGCAACCCAGCAGCCTCGCCCACCCGGTTCAGACGCCCAAACCGAAACCAAGCGCACCCAGATCAGAACAGCAGAGACAGAAGAAAAGCCGCAGAGGAAAGGACTAGAGAGGCTCGACAAGATCAACAAAAACGATCAAAAGATTTGTGTCGGAGAGCCGAACGAGTTCTATGGACAGGAAGGAGGAACTGCCGGATCATATGAGTCCTGAAAGACACAAACACACGGAACAATGTTGACACCTGTCCTGCAGACGGAAAAACACATAAGCACAAGCTACACTCTGACATGTTGCAGTACTCTTTCCTTAAAATAAAAAAAAAATAAAAAACTTGAAACAAATAACCATAACTAAAAAAAGAAAAGATAATAAAAAAAACACACCTACAGATGATCTAATATAACCAGAGGAATTATTCAGATAATTTGTAATTAATCCAGAAGGTCGTGAGGAAGCTAAAACTGCAGTGTAGATTTGACCCATTTCCACAACCGCAGTGAAGGGGTTAGTTAAGAACGTCTGGTGATGTTCTTCCATCATAATGGCCCCATCATCCCTCACTGGTTCTCCTGCCATTGGCTCCAACTCACCACCAGGTGGAGATCAGCTGAAAACTCTGCTTATAGGGCAAAATGTGCTTCAATAAAAACATGAGTAAGCATCCGCACTGGAAAAAATCTAAATCTAGATAGGTCATTTTTCTTAAAATAAGTGAATTTGTTCTTGAATTGAGAAGGTAAAATAAACATTTTGACAATGGAACAAGAAAATTTACATTTAAAATAAGAAAACAATTGCATTGTCTAATTTCAAGTAAATATCTTATTCTAAGAGTAAAAATAGTCATTCCATTGGCAAATAATCTCATTTACCTACACTGAATTTAAGACATTTGTACTTATTTCTAGACCGTTTTTCGAGTGTGAGTTTGCAAACCTATGGCAATAAATATGAATTTTAGATTTCTGTTTGTGATTTGGTAGAAACAAGTTTAGAAGTTATAAATAAAAGTTACGCAGTTTCCATTTTTGTATGATTTTACGATCCCTGGTGAAGCTGTAACGCTCTTTACTGGTTGATGGCAGAAAGTTCTACTGAAACCTTCATAGACTGAGAAGAACAGGAAAAAGATGGAAACAGAACCATTCATTGAATATTTCAATTGAAAATGATTTCAGCAAAGAAATATTCAATTGGTGGTTTTGTTTTCATCTTCTAGTCTAATTGTTGCTTATGAACAACTTCCAGGCGCAATAACGCCACCAACTGGTAAGAAGTAACAGCTTCTATTACTTGTAAATTTGTGATTTATATATGTAAATACATGATTTGTAAAGAAATAGATCTTAATATTAATCCTTACTGTTACACATCCAGGCACCTGAGCACATGTTTTTATTGATGGTTATTTTGCCCCATATCTGCTCATCTCATCATCCCCTGAGATCATAAACTAGATTCTGGAGCTTTGACCCAAACTAGCTGGGTCACACCTATGGACCACCTGGGGTTCAAAGAAGGTGATCAATATGGATGCCTTATAGAGAGGTCTAATATCAAAACAAAGCTCAGATCAGAGCAAATCAATCTTTATTAATGAAGAATCTTCCAACTATGGATTGAGTTGACCAAAGTGCTTCACTACCGAACGCATTGAAAAAGACAGCATAAGTTAAAAGGAGAGAAATAAAACCACTTAAAAAAAAATCTTTGTTATGAAACTCAGAAGCGTTTTAGACAAATGGGAGTTGAGTTTGACTTTAAACAGAGGAAGGAGCTTAGTGATGGAGTGAAACTCAAGTCTGTTCCACCTTGTTGGACAAGTCACTGAAAACACTGTTTATACCTGGAGGACCTGTGAGCTAGTGAACCAGGATGGTACTGGCAGCGGCAATTTCATGTGCAGGGATAAAAGAAAATGTTCATGTTTACAGGAGGTCTGAGTTTTATAAAAGCTGTAAAGACAACTGAGAAAAACAGCCTGATAACAACCAAAAGAGTAAATATGTCTATTTCGAACAAAACACAGATTCCTTTAGGATCTCCAGAGAATCTCCAGATTGGACCCCGACCTCTAAAGCCTGGGTAATGACCGATGAGTCGGCGAGGTTTGCGCGTCCGGATGACAGAATTTAAGCACCTCATCAGCCATCAGAGGGCCTATGTGAAGGGGAGCCATAGATCGACCGCTAGGAACTCCCTAACCCCCCTCCTCTGAGGCTAGTTTACCGATCAGGGCCTCCAGCAGTCTGGCCCCCCTAGACCAAAGAGGTCCGGTGTCTAATCGTTAGGTGTCTTTTCTACGGCAAGTATCAGAAGCAGATTTATTGCCAAGTAGGTTTGCACTTACAAGGAATTTGACTTGGTGTTGATGGTGAAGACAAATGTATATATATATATATATATATATATATATATACACAGAATACAGAATTTATAGCTATATACAATATAGAACATACAATATACTATATATAGTATATAGCTATATACTATATATAGTATATAGCTATATACTATATACACAACAGACTGTGCGGTAATGTAAATAAACGGATATCATTCAGGGTAATTTCAGATCATACGTGGTAAATCATCAGGTTAAAGAGATCTACAGAACCGAAACTAACCGTGTGGAACCAGAACGTCATGTCTGATCCGACTTACAGGTTGGGTCAGAACTGATGTGGTACTGAGAGCCTGGCCTCAGTAGAACAGACCCATGATCCAGGTGTGTTTCTCACCTTTGACCTTCTGCAGGCGAGCGGACAGCTCCTGCTCTGATTGGTTGGGAGGCCTGTAGGGTGGGGGTTGTCTGAGGGGGGGCAGCGTAGCTTCAGGTATCTGTGGGGGGTAGATAGAGGGTCAGAGGGTCCAATTGTACCACAGAGGAAATAAGAAACAGAATAAACAAAAAGTTCTGGTTCTGGTTCATAGTCCCGATCCACTCCTGGTTTTCCTTCCTATGATCCTGACCTGCAGCAAACAGAACATTTGGATCAGCAGTTCAGGAATGTCATCCAGGGTTCTATCTTTGGAGGTTCTGTTGTCGGAATTCACTATAAAAACCAGCAGGAAAGCTCAGTGAAAGGTCCAGCCGTGGATGTTTTAACCAATCAGGGTCCATTTTCACAAAGATTCTCAGGAGCTGCTAGTTTAGGCAGAACCTCATCTTCATATTAATAAAATATTATTGTTCTAGAGGTTTATGTTCTCATCCTCTCCACTGTTAGTGGATCAGCCAATCAGCTCTCTCCTTTTCCTCCGTCTTCTCAGTTTCAGACACGTTTAGGCTCACTAAAAGTTCCCCCTAATCTCTCCTGACATGTATTCCCTTCAGGAGCTCTCTGAAGCGCCAGGAGCTTCATTGAGAACTTTTATCTTAAGGTTTTTCCTGAAATGACATCACCAAGAGCAACTTTTAGTCCGAGGATTTTTTGAGAGGACAGGCCCTGATATTTGAGCTGCCGCTAAACCCAGAATTGACTGTGATCTGAGGCATTGCTGCCCCCTGCTGGCCTCTGGCTGCAGGTGTCTATGAGGCTGTGGTTCGTACCAGAGGCTCTCTCCGCTTGACTTTGTGTTTGCTGTTGCTGGATGCTGTTAATGACACCGGCTGGAACACAGAGACACACACAGATCAGATAATCATCACTGCCATGGAACCTTCCCTGATTTATTGTAAACAGAACCCTGAGAACATTAAAAGGCAACGTTATGAGATTATAATAAATTTTAATGTTAATATTTTATATCTTTAAAATGGTTAATATTAGCATGACGTGCCTAGATACGCAAACTGAAGCTAAAGATAAACGTTTATCCAAACCGAGAGCTGAATAAAAAGGCTTTCCCTCAAGAACCGACGGCTTGGTGTTCAGTGTGATCCGTTACCCGCGGCGTAGCTGACAGGCTCTGCACAATGAAGACGACCGGACTCGGAGCGGACTTGATGGCGCTGACCGCCTCCTCGTGACTGGCTGTTCGCAGGTCCACACCTGACACCTGAGGGGTGCACACAGTTTACCAGACAGGTTCTGTTAGACTGAGGAACCCTCAGAGCTTCCATATGGAGAACCAGCGGCCCACCTCTAGGATCTTGTCTCCAGTCTTCAGGCAGTGAGATTTGGCAGCAGGGCTGTTTGGAAGAACCTGTTTGATGAAGATTCCCTTCAGTTCCTCTCCGTTCTTCAGGCGTTTGATGACGTGTCGACCTCCAACGATGCTCAGCCCCAGAGACTGGCCATCTTCTGGCCACACTTCCACCCTGCATAGGGGGGAGACATTTAAGTTTGAGGAATGTTTCAGGCTGAGTGGAGGACGTTCTTTGCGTGTCCTGATGATCCAACAAGAACATCTGTCTGGATCCTGAAGCAGAATGCCAGATCCTGCCGCTAAATAATGCCGCTAGATAATCAGTGGTTCTGAAGTTAGCTCCATTGCTCTTAAACAGGTAACAGGATGGAGCACAGGATATCCTTAGAACCTGGATCAGGAGGTTCTGGTCAGTGCATTCCTCTGTAGGTGAATTTACCTGCGGGGGGGTCCCCAGTGACTGAAGGCAGGGGTCTCCTCTCCCTCTCCTGCTTCTCTTTCAGGCAGATCACTGTGAAAACAAGCTCAGGTGTTAATCCACGGAGGCTTCCTGTTCGCCTGGACTCACCCAATCAGCGGCTGCCTTACCTGTGTCCCCATCGCTGGCTCCGCCTCTTCCTCCTCCCAGAGTTCACCATCTTTGCAGACCTGAACAGGACAGAAACTTATCAAGTTCTGTTTTTTATTAGAGGTATTTCCTGAGCAATCTGTGTAACTAGAGAGCAACAGTGTTCAATTGGGCTGTGGATCAGAACCGGTTGGTCCAGATTAGACTTCAGAAGCTGAGGGACTGATATTTGAGTCTGTACATTAGGATGGTTTCTTAAATTGAATGGTTCACATGAAACCAGCTGAGAAAGAACTATTCAAAAATGACCCAGCAGGCTGCTGTTAGCTGGTCTGACCTGGAGGGGGAGACAAAGGCCAGAGAATCTGAACCATCTGCTAGGAATGAAATTAATCCAGACTGCACCTTTTCTTAAGATTTATAAGATGTTTGTTTCTTCCTCAGGCTCAAAACTGATTTCTGAAACGTATCTCAATCATTATCATTTCACATTAAATTCCCCCAGATGTCCAGCTCCTCAGTTCGTCGCCTGTCCTCTTCACAGCTGGCCTCTGTCGTTGACTCAGCTGCATAAAGGTTGAACACAATGTCCAGATCCTTGTATTCTGACTCTAAACCGAGTTACTTCATTTGAAGATGTACAGATATGCTGCCAATAAACATTAGATAATTAGTGATGATTTGATGTAATCTGGAACTGATATAACAATGGTTTGGGGATCTGAGGAGGATTAAAACTGAACATAATCTGATGACACTGATCAAGTTGTGATAAACTGCTGCAAATCTGATACTAATTAGATGATAATAGGACATAAGTTTTTGGAATTTTTAATCTGAGAGTAATAAAATGTATGCTGTGGTATCCTGGTGATGACTCTTTTCTAGAAGGAGCAAGTTGGTTATATCAGAGAACACTCCTCTGCTACCCTATGAATGCTGACGACACAGCTTTATATCTCGGTGTCACATGAGCCGAGTCCAGAGCACTGACTGGGTCGTGGATCCATCAGGTAAATTGGGAAGGTCCCAGAAATGTGACGTTGGATGATCAGACTAAAGGGGCTAAAGGCTCACGTTATGTGAGAACCCAGAGATTAGCTCAGAAGTTGGATCTTAGTGGTTCTGATGGCCTGGGGGGTAGGAATGGACTGTTCTGTGACATGGACACATAGTGGTGGTACTGACTCGGTGTCGGTGTCCGTTAGAGTGAGGTCCGAGTCCACTTCTCCTTCTCTGGAGTCTGGAAGGCCTGAAGACACATGAACGGATTTCAGAGCGCTTCCTACAGGCGGAACACAGATTTTAAAGTTGGACTCTTTACTCACCCAGGATCAGTCTACCAACAGAGGAGATGCTCTCATGGTCTGACTTCTGCAACTCCTCCTCATCCTGTGACGCTCTCCTCCATGTCTGGAGCTGATTTTAGAAACACAGCAGGACTTACAGAAATCTTCCTCAGGTGAGAAACGTCTCAGCAGAAGCTAAGACATGAGAACTGAACCAACCTCCTCAAAACCTCCTGCTCTGCCGGCAGAGGATGACAGCTGCCACTCCTCAAAGGACGGAGGAGGCATCCTGTGCAGGGAGTTCATCACATCTTCAGCCTCCACCTCCTCCTCATCTACAGCCATCTCTGTGCCCTCCTCCACAGGCTGGAGGTCAGAGGTCAGAGAGGAGGTGTAGCGAGGCAGACCTCCATCTAGAATCAACTCCTCTTCCTCCTCCTCCTCCTCTTCCTCCTTAGGATATTCTGGAAGCACGGAGCGATTGCTCAATTCCTGAAATCAGACAGGAGAGCTGTTGAAGTGAGGAAGAGATAGCATGCAGGTTCTAACCCTTGTGATGTAATGAATGCTGCCAACCAATCAGGCCAAAGGACCAGATTCAAACGGCTTCTATCATTAAAGTGACAAATATCCACAAAACATCCAGGAAGATGGACAGGCTATAGGTCCATCCAAGTTCTGGCTAAATAACGAGATGTTTAGCGTTTTGTGTGGTCTAGTCAAAGTCTGGAGTTTTATTTGGTTCAAACATGGAGGCCTGTGGAATGTCATATAAACTATACTTTTTCACCAGAACCAGGTTATTCTGGAGAAACATTCCTTCTTATATTAATGCCGGTTCTCTTTGATAAAAAAAAAAAACCTATGCTGCATTTCAAACAAGGAAGGAAAAAAATCAAAACCAGTAGAAAAAAACTTCACAGCAGCTCTGGAGCCGACTGTGAACAGAGGGAAGTTCTGGTTCTAGACTTGCTTCTGGTTCTGCTCCGTTTTCCAGACTGACCAACTGCAGATGAGTTGGTAGGATCAGAAATTATGAATTCTGGGCGACTGAAGCGCAGTCAGGCTGATGGGAGGAGATGGTTCTAGATGTTCTGCTGAGTGAACGTGAGACTGAGAAAGTTCTGCTGAACTTCTCCCAGACTAAAACTTTTAACATTAGCTTTGATCTCTGAGCACATAAAGGTTTCCTCCATCTCCCCAAAGAGCCTCCCTCAGCACATACTGAGGGGATATCCTGCTCTTTACATTACCATGCAGACATTAGCGCGCACAGGGAAATATTAATGACAACACTTAGGCTAATTTCCACAGAGCGAGCCTCGTCTTCAAGGACTCTGCTGCTCGGCTTTTAATTTGGGCCCGGGAAGCCGGCCCATCCGGCGCTGTAATGGAGGTGAGGAGCAGACGGCGGCCGCAGCACACAGCTCATAACGCTAACAGCTCGCCCTGCAGACTGATGATTGTTGGCCGTGACTGCCTGGCCTCATATTCTGAAGATTTAAAGACGCTGCTGTTTAATATCCCCCCCATTAGACGATGAGGACGGCAGAGATGATGACGAGCTGTCCTGGAACCGGTCCGTTCTCGCTTTACAGCATGCAGGCCAGGATAGGGGAACGTGACGCTAACGCCGCAGAGACGGAGTGGGCCGATGCTGAGGTGTTTTAGTGGTTCCTTCAGAGGTCAGGATCATTAGAACGGTTCGATTCAAGTGCCATTTAGCTGCTGACAGAGAGCAGAGCGGGTCAGAACAGCGGCTCTGCTCCCTCCGTCAGACCAAAAACCCACAGACCCTGTCTGGGTTCTGGAGTACCCCGAGAGAACTCATGTTTGCAGAGAAAACATGCTCCATGCAGAAACCGCTTAATGCTGAGCATTATTCCTACCAACTGTTCCACCAACTATTCCCTATGCTAAGTTCTATGAAACCTAGTTGGTACCTTGTTAGAACATTTGTGGAACCCAACTAGTACCATTTTATAGCATTCATGAAAGCTAGCTAGCACTTTGTGGAAACCTTTGTAGGACCTATTGGGTTCTTTGTACGAAGCTTTTAAGAACTTTAGAGCCATTTTTTTTAGAATATTTGTGGAACCCAACCGGTACCATTTTAAAACCACTGGGAATTGTACTGGTACTATTTCTGAGCATTTGTGGAACCAAGCTGGTACTTATTAAATATTTCTGAAATCTAACCTTTATAGAAATAAACTGGTTCCTTCCAAAAATATTCCCAGTCAATCACATAAGATCTATGAAAGTAGTTAGTAGCTAGTTCCCACCTAGGTACCTACTAGGTCCTTGTCAAAAATTAATAAAAAAAATGAAATTGTCTAGAGAGCTGTTCTAAACTAAATTTCATCTTGTTTACACTTCTGTATATAAAATGACTTAATAAATCTGTCTAAGTGTAAGGTTCTAGTAGGTCTCAGTAATCAGATTACCGAGTCCACCTGCTTCTGCTGCTTGGAGTAATAAGATTACCGAGTCCACCTGCTTCTGCTGCTTAGAGTAATCAGATTACCGAGTCCACCTGCTTCTGCTGCTTGGAGTAATAAGATTACCGAGTCCACCTGCTTCTGCTGCTTAGAGTAATCAGATTACCGAGTCCACCTGCTTCTGCTGCTTGGAGTAATCAGATTACCGAGTCCACCTGTTTCTGCTGCTTGGAGTAATCAGATTACCGAGTCCCCCTGCTTCTGCTGCTTGGAGTAATCAGATTACCGAGTCCACCTGCTTCTGCTGCTTAGAGTAATCAGATTACTGAGTCCACCTGCTTCTGCTGCTTAGAGTAATCAGATTACCGAGTCCACCTGCTTCTGCTGCTTAGAGTAATCAGATTACCAAATGAACCTGCTTCTGCTGCTTAGAGTAATCAGATTACCGAATGAACCTGCTTCTGCTGCTTAGAGTAATCAGATTACCGAGTCCACCTGCTTCTGCTGCTTGGAGTAATCAGATTACCGAGTCCAACTACTTCTTCTGCTGAGAGTAATCAGATTACCAACTGGCTGCTACTGCTGCTTAGAGTAATCTGATTACTGCAGCAGGAAGCTGTTTGCTCCCATAAAGCTTCAGAGTTTAATCAGGCGCCTCCCTCATGTGACCTCGAAGAGTTAACGAGGTGTGGCTTCCTAACGGGGTCTCTCTCTGGTCAGCGTGACAGAACGATCCTGCAGGGACGTGACAGAACCGACCCGGAGATCTTTATGACGAGCCATCAGGGAGCCCTGAGCTGTGAAAGAGGCTCTTCTGTTAAATGAGCTGCATGTAAAACAGGAAATAAAAGATCAGCACAGAGGCTGACGGCAGCAGGAGGACAAAGAGGAATGAGAGGCCGACAGGGACCAGAACACTGAAAGGTTCTGGCCCCATCCGGATCAGCACTTTGTGTTCTGAGCAGTTAGACTATCTTCGTGCAAAAAAAATAAATAATATTTTTTTTAGATCTCTAATAATTTCTGTCTGTCATATTTAATCTTCTGAGAAGATTCCTGAATGATGCCACAAACCTGGGTTTGGACTCGGAGCCATCATAGGCTGACTTGGTGACAATCGGACCAGGACATATATTAGCCCTACAAATGGGGGGAGTGGCAGTGAAGCGCAGTAAGTGGGCGTGGCCCGCAGCAGGTGGTTGCCCCGTCTGCTCATCTTATGGACATGCTGAGCAGGAAGCTTCCGAGTCACAAAGCAGAAACAATCAAAACACCGTCTCAAGGGTTCTGGACACGGGACAGAACCTGGACAGGTGGATCATCCATCACAGTACAATGCAGACAGACAGGGCATGAAATAATCCATAAAACCATGTGTAAGGGTCAACTGGAGTGTCCTCTGAACCCAGAGTACCCAGAGATGACTCCCCCCATGAACGGAGAGAACCAAAGTTCTGTTCAGACTCTGGAGGTTCAGGCTGACCTTTGCTAGTGTCGCCAAAACCTTTACTCAACCGGAGCAGAAAGTCTCCAGACCCAATGCTTTGGACCTCCTGGTTCAGGATCTTGTCTGGAGCATTTAAGGTCAGTGTCAGCGCCGCCTCCTGATGAAGCCAATGTACTACAGGGCCTCTAGGTAGACGGTGTTTTGGAAGTGTTTAGTAGAATGTTCCTGATTCTGGGTGGACATCCTATGCTGATAGGGCGTCAGAAGGAAGCCAAAGGCGGCATGAAGAACTCCATGACCCTCCACCTGCTGCCACCGGAGGATAAAGCCTAGTCGCCTTTCATTGGTGACGTTTGCTTTATTAATCAGGAGCTAAGAGGAAGAAGAAGACAACAACCACTTTTCAGTGGCACTGATCTAAATTTTGATCTGGTTTAAAGGACTTCCCTGCAGGCCATTTGATCGCCATCGTCATCATCAGAACAACGCAGAACCAGATCCGATTAGCAGTTCTGATTCATCTTTTTTTATTAGTGATCCAACATGATGAACAGATAAATGTTCAACCTGCAGCAGCAGAGGCATTACATCTGTACTGCAGTAATACTGAGTACTGCAGGAGGGGGGCATGTCCTCACAGCAACCCCCCCACTCCCCTCCTCCCTCCGGCTGCCTCACTTAAAGAAAGATGCTGCCGGTTGAGCTGATGGAGCACTTTATAGCATCGAGCCATGGAGCTGAGTCAGCAGGGGAGGGAGAGGGAAGGTGAAAGAGAGGAGAAGATGAAAGCGAGAAGGGGGGGTGAGGATGATGAAGTGAAGGGAAGCAGGACGACAGTCAGAACAAAGACGAAGCTCTCAGAGTGATTACTGAAGGCTTCAGGTGAGCAGCAGGGTTTCTGCAGCAGCCCAGCCGGTCAGAGTTTCATAGATGCAGCTGATTTTAGAAACAATTGGAAATAAAACAAATGTTCCCAGAAACAGTTTTAAGAATTTATCTTATTTTCTCTCCGTCATTAAACCAACTGATTATTGTCCCTTTGAGAGACCCATCCGGGCCAGAACTCTGGCCTACCGCCTAATGGCCTGAGATGTTGCTTCAACACATCCTGCCTTGATGTTGAGCACAGCAGCTCCCCCACCATGACGCTGCCACCACCGTGCCTCGGAGCTAGGAGAAGTTCCACCTGAAGCCGCTCCGGCAGAAAAGAACCTTAATTTAACGAATGTGACTTTTCATCCAGCCGGACCTCAACACTGTTGTATTTCACGGCCCTAAGATGAATATTAAGAAGCATGAACAACTGAACATTGTTTGAGGGGCTTCATGGGGTTCCTCACACACCTAAACGTTTACCCTGACTTTCCAGGTCACAGAGAGGAGAAAATATTCCTGTTGGTAAGAGAGCAGGTTCTTCCAACACTGATCAAATGTTGAGTACTGCTGCTTTAAAGAACTAGATAACAGAAGGAGCCATCTGTACAGCTCTGCCTCTCATGAACACTGGATGTACCTCAACTTTCTCAGAGTCATGCTAGCTAAACAGATGCTTTTTTGAGTGCCTTTTATTAGGTTATGACAACCCTTATTTAAATAGGTGTTCAAACAATAAAATGTCTTTAAGAAAACGGTGCTTACCTCTGGAACCAGCCCAGCTTCAGGAGACACCAGAATTTTCTTCTCCTTGTTCGTCTCTGCTTGTTCCTACAGAAACAGGAAATGGATCAAGAGAAGAAGCTGGAAGACAGCAGCTCAGGTTCTGCCAGAACCAGAGGGACTCTGTGATCACAAAGTTCTGACTGAAACAGAATCTAAGCCGGAAAAAGACCGACTCTAATATTCCAAACCTCTGAGCAGAAAAGGGCTGAGAGGAACCAATAAACCCACAATTATGATGAGGTGCAGAACTAGTCTCCTTGGAACCAGAACCTTCAAGCAGAAGTACTAGAACTTCCGTACGGGTTTAATCCTGTTCTAGAACTAAAACAGTGTTCAGTCCGGATGTGCAGTCGGATCTCATCAACCAGGAACAAACCGGAGAAACAAATCAGAACTTACCAGATGCAGAGAATCCGATACCAAAACAAACCTGCTAAGATCTGGACCTTCACCAGTCCGATTTAGATCTGTTAAAAGGTCTTTCTAGGACCAACAATAGTTGGCCCAGTATATCAGCCCAGATCCGCACAGAAAAGATCTTAGTCTTCAATAGTTCTAAAGTTTAGAGACTCAATCGGACCAGCACCTTTTAGAGAAGAATGTTTGAACTCACCACCAGTGGTTTGCGGATCCCTAGACGGACAGTACCAGGCGGTACTGCCTTCAGGACCTCCACTGCCTGCGTTAGGGTGAAAGGGTCCAACTGGGTTTGGTTAACTGATACCAGCTGGTCTCCAGGAAGTAAACCGCCATGACGCTCTGCTGATCCCCCAGGAACCAGGGAACGGATCACCATCACGCACCGACCAGGGTCCAACGGGTCCTGAAGAGGCAGACATGACATGGCTATTCATTCTGTTCCAGCTGCAAAGGAAAGTTCTGATCCTTTTGATTAGAGATCCAAAAAGACCTCAAAAGATCGACTCAACGGCACCCTGTGACCGGACTCACCCTGGAGACGACAGAGACCCAGAGCAGACCTGGAATACTGTGGTTCTGTTCCTGTGAGTTCTGTTTCAGAAGCTACAGTGAGTGTGATGATGATGCAGGGTACCCGCAGACAAGTAGAAGGCGGGGACCCATCAACCAGACTCCGCAGCAACACTCAGGTGTTGTCTGGCGGCACCACTCTCAGTTGTCCAGTCAGAACCCTGGATAGTTGGATTAAAATGGTTCCAATCGTAACCAGACGGAACAAGAAAGTGATGCTGCTGATTGTTCTATGGACCGGGTCGGACCAGACCCGTGGGGATTACAGGTCCCAGGAGTTCTCCCGTTCCATCTAGATCCACTTCCTCTGAACTCCAAAACTTCCTGATATCAGGGACATCTCCAGAACCAAACCATCCCTCTGTGACTGTGCAGCTGAACTCGTCTTTCCACATCTGGAATGACTCAACCCTGAACATCAACAGAACCTCCCCTCCAGCGGATTTGTCTTTCCTTTGGGTCTGATTTGAATCAGGCATTTATGGTGAACCCTCTGGGGTCCTCTGAATGACATCCTGGATCAGCCTGAGGTCAGTCAGAGTGGGATGGATGCTCAGACGCTCCTGATGAGAAAAACATCCCCCCAATCAGCCACTGAGGAGTTTCCACCCGCCGTTCCGATCCGTTTTATTGAACAGTCTATGTTCTATACTGAGGGTTGCTTTCAAGGTCCAACATCTGGTTCTATTTGACCCGTTTCCCAAAGAACCCAGACAGAAAAAGCCTAACATGTTTCTCACCAATCTCTCCAGCATCTCCCTGAACTCCCCAGCTTTTATTCAATGAATTTCTCACTTTCTGCTGAGATGTTTATTTTTTTTTTGTTAACATAACATCCTGAGACTTTCTGTGAACCGTCTCTGACCACACCTGAACCAGAACCTGCTGGACCTGACCTGCCAGAACCCGAGCCCCCTCAGAGACCCGGACGGTAGCGGCATTAAAAAGCGCTGCTCAGTGAATTCCCTGCTGCGGGAACCCGGAGCATCGCCTTAGCGGAACGAGCTGCTGCTGTGCCAAGTTTCAGGCTGCCAGAACAAAGCCCGGCTGTATTTTTAGACGGAGCTGCATGGCTACAGGTGGTGAGGAGTCAGAACTCGGGTCCTCCACTCCTACGGGATCCTCAGGAAAAACAAAGGCCTCACACAGGCAGAGGAGCGGAGGAATCAGAAAAACGTAGGAGAAGAAAAGTCAAAATGTTCTCTGCCAAAAGAAGGAAGATGCTGCTTTTTAACGGCGGGTTGAAATGGATCAGAGAGAGGTTGGTGCTGAAGACCACTGAGATGCTTCAGCTTCACATTCAGAAGCTCCTACTGAACTTTCCGCATCTAAAGTTTCACTGAAGAAATTTTGAAGGAAAGCAAACAAACAGAGTTCTGAGGAGGAGTGGAGTGTGGATCCAGTACCTAAACAACGGCGCAACACATGGGTTCATTGGCGACCAGCAGAACCCGTCAGGTCCAATCAGGAATCCAGCAGAGGATAACAGAGTCCAACCATCCTTTCATCTATCACAACATCAAATGGATCCAGTTCTCTTAAGGATCCAGAATTATTTCTATTAAACCTAAAAACATTCATCACTGTGGAGGGGCTCAGACTCGTTTTTCTTGGAAGAACGCTTAATTTAGACAAACAGATCATCTGAGTTTGATTGAAGTCCGTACTTTAATTATAAACCCTTTGCAGTCGGACCCAGCTGAAGGAAAACTGCTCATTTCATTTCAGCACAGAGGCTGGTTGAGCTAAACTATCAGAATCACTGTGGAATGATGCAGATTTCCTGATTTTAATGAGTGTAAATAAGGAGTGTACCTCCTTCTTTCCTCTTAAATATGAGGAAAAGACCATTAAGACCGTCATTGGCTCACTGAGGCAGATCAACACACTGCAGATATTTAATTAGGCCTGAGCAGCGACAGTGCTGAGAAGGCCTATTGTATCTTTATTTTTGCATTTGTAACCACTTTGTTTGATTTAAATATAAAACAAAACAAAGATACAACAATTTAATTAACGATGCAACTAATTGACTCTAGAGGGCTGGATTAATTGACCAGGTCCAGGGCCACATCCTTCAGTATGACACACAACCATCATAACCATCCTCATCGTCATCCTTATCACCCTCCTCCTCATTTCTGGTTTCTCGTGGTTCTTGCAGCTCCTTCTCCTTTAGCTCAGTAGATTTTCTTTTAAATATTTGTTTTTTAAAACCTTCCAGTTTTCATGAGGTTCTCCTCACAGAGTCTGAACTGTCTTTTGGTCTAAAGTCTATCAGGATGAAGTAGTTGGAGGAATACTGGTTCTGTGATTTGCAGCTGGTACCAACAGGTGTGGATGAGTTCTGGACCCTTAGTTTTGGTTGGATCTAACAAGCTAAAACTTCTCATCATGGATTCCTGTTTTATTTTTAATTTTTTTTTTTTAAAGAAAAAAAATCCCTGAAATGTTTGATTTTATTTTATTTTGCTGGAAAATAATCAAATAAAAAATCTAGTCAAAAGATTATTGTTGTTCCAAACCCTCAGACTTTATTTAGTGACAGAAATAAATCTGATTCTGGTTCTGATTCCTAAACACAAACAAGCTGACAAAAGGTTTCAGGTCGACTGTCTTCTAGTTTCATAGAACAAAATATTCTGTTTTTCTTATGGGTCTCTGTGCCCCTTTAGACGGGTTCAATAAATGTGGACCGGGTCTGGTTCTGGGAATGCCTGAGGCTCTGTTAGAAGTGCCCCACCCCCCCCTCACTTTCCAAAGGGCTCATAAAACATCCCATCATCTGTGACGGACAGGCCAGCCCTCAGAGACATGTTTCCTCCATCCTTCGTTCCACATGATGAAGATGCTGCTGACAGAAGGTCCATCCTCTTCTTCAAGTTCTCTCTTTCAGGCTTCTATGCAGCCAATCCTCTCGCTCCATCTAACCCCCCCTGACTCCGCAGGTCAGTCATCAGTGGACAGAGCAGTTTGACCAAACCGAGTTAGAGGAAGGGTTCATTATCGTCGCCTCCTGCCTGCAGGGTTTTTATCTACGGTTTAAGTATCTGTAAAGCTCAGTCTGTCCTCTGGTGACCAGTTCTTTAGACGGACAGAACCATAGAGGAGATTTCTGGTCATGCATCATTTCAGCAGAATTGTTCAGAATAACTTTAAGGCCCGGTGGTGGAGCAGTGGTGATGTGGGCTTGTTTTGTGCTGTGGCTCACCTGATAGTCCAGGATGCTAAAGCCGAGGCCTTTGTCCTTCTGCTTCTGCAGCTCCACCACGTTCACCTCGGGAGACCAGAGAGCCAGCTCTCCATCGTCATCCTCTTCCTCATCCTCTTCCTCCTGGCTGAGGTCGCTCTCTTCAGTTTCCAACTGCAGCACTAAAGTAGAGACCTGCTCCTGACAGAAAGAAGAACCAGAACTAGAGCCTTGAACAGGTCTGGGCAGTCAGAGATCTTTGGGAGAAATCTGTCTGAAGCTGGGAGGTACCTTCCTGTCCTCCTCTTCCTCCTCTTCCTCCTCCCCCTCCAGATGATGTTTGAATTCTTCTTCTCTCATGAGCATCGCTGACAGTTTCATTTCCATCTGAATAAAAAATACCACGATTAACCTTCACTCCTTCTACTGGTTGTGGCTTCCTCTGACCCAGACTATCCCAGAACACTCCAGGACAGTCTGGGTCAACATTTGATCAAAGGTTCTGTCAAAGTTCTACTGGGTCATTTGCTGCATGGCGTCCATGTTTGTCCCCCAAAATATGAAAATCTACGACTAACAGAGGTTCTATTAAAGCTCATGGACAGTTTGGGTCCTCTAAAGTTCAGGACAAAAGGGCCTGACCCGAAGTTTTGGAAATAAATGTTCTGATCACACTAACAGAACCTGTATAAAATATCTGAATTTTCAAGAAAGAAACAAACAGATCTCAGAGTCTCACCTCGTCTACGCTGCTGTGGGTGGGTTCTGCTGCTGGATAAGGTGGAGGTGGAGGTTCTGATTCTGGTTCCGGTTCCAGATCGGAGATCATGTGTCGGCAGCAGACCAGGGTGAATGGAGGAGGAACTTCTTTGAGGAACGACACAGCTTCACGCCTGGACTTCCCATAGAGCTGAACCCCATTCACCTTTAAATGGACCAAAACAGAACACGGTTAACAGAGGCCCGGATCTAAGGTCCGGTTCAACACAAGAACCACAGAAAACTGTGAGTCAGACATGAATTATTAGCAAAGAGGAGAATTTAAAATGCTGGGAGAGAATCTGATCCAGGATGAGGTGAGGTCCCCAAAGCGGGTCAGGATGTGGTCCCTGAGGTACATGAACTATATCATGAAATACATTCATGTTAAAGTACAATTAAATAAATAAATAAATAGATTTATCTTTATTTAAATATGATATATACCCAAACATTTCAGCCTGGGACCCCAAAAATACAATATTACTTCATTTTATATTTATTAACATAAAATATATCAGAATTTTTATTAAAATTAAATTTAACAGTTTTTTTTTCATCACTATAATTAAAATTCAATAGGACATTTAGTCATTTGATTTTGATGTTATAATTTAATTGTATATTTAATATCTAAATGATGTAATAAATAAATGTTACTTATTTTGTGACATTTATTTCATGATGTACTGTTCTTTCTTCCTCCCTTTACTTCAGACACTACATCCTGAGGAATATGAAACCCCACCACTCCTTGTCTGATGACCCTCCAGGGGTCCCAAACAACAGTTTGGGAATATCTGGAATAGACCATTAAATTTTAAAACCCACAATTAAATAATTATGTCTGATTTTAAACAAAATTGCATGATTGTAGGTCTGTCATATCTTTTAAAAATATAAATGTAAAAGATGTACATAAAAATGGATAGAATAACTTGATTTAACAGTGTAAATAAATAGATTGTGTTAATTGAGTGATTAAGTATTTTCAGGGGGTCTCCAGTCTGTTGCAATTCTATGCTTGGATTCAGTGGCTGAAATGTTTGAAGCCTGTCATTTTAAAGCTGCTCTTTTTCCAGCAGGCTCTAGACTGAGGCTACCACCAGGCATGTCTTCCGCTGTCCTCCAGCATCAGCCTGGTGGTCAGCGGTAAAGAGAGAATCCCGCTGTGGAAACTCATCTGACCAAAGCTTTTCACACAGGCGGATGTTTGTAAACAGGAACAATTGAACTGCAGCAGGTATGGAAAGCCAAAGGTGCCATAAATCCAATACATAAAGAAGGTGCAATATTTCTATTTGATAAACAATAAAATTATAATGTGACGTGAGATGCATTAATCAAATTTATGGAATGCTTATATCCTAAATTAATATTAAAGCAGTGCTTTTTAATGTAATTATTGGCCATTTAAACAGCAGCACTGTGTGTTTCTGTCATGCCCTTAGAGTCACTCTTAAGGCTGGTTTATACTCATAAACCAGGTCATCTGCGTGTGTGTCGCAGTTAACGCAGATATGCCCCCACCCCTTCCGCAGACACTCTGCTGCACCTCTCCAAAGTTGTAGGTGACTGCAGACAGGAGGCCTCTGATTGGTCAAATCTACATCCGCTCTACACTATGCGTATTTCCTGTTTGGTACCTTACCGGCTTGTTTGGTTTGTATGACCGCCATTGCGGAAACTGACTCGTGAAGATGGTAGCAGTGTTGTGCCTGAACGCGTTCATTGAACGAAAGTTCATGAACTTGTTCATATTTTGGGCGAACGTGAACTGAACGTACTGTATTACTGCCTGATGAACGCTATTGCAAACTCGTTCATTCTGGTGTCTGTAAACGGCACGCTCTCTCAGTTCAGCTCCATTCAATAGGTTGCCAGATTTCTATAGAGCCCTCCAGGCGAAACCCCGGCTAAATCACACCGTAAACAGGCCTTAATATGTAGCGGGAAAAACACCCAATCTGGCAACACCAGCTACCAGTGTCAGCCGCGTGCGTCATCAAAACAAAATGCAGCATGGAGGCGACCGTGGAGGCGACAAAGCAGCAGTATGATCACTTAAAACAGTTGTATGACCAGGTGGTCGGTGAGGATGATAGCAACAAGTTTGCCCGCCGGCTTTCAGTACAAAAAATCCGCACTTCAGTAACCTTAAATTCCTACCTCAGCCTGGTCCCTCAGTTTGTGTTAGTAAAATCTTCTTGAGCGGAGGTCTTCAACAGGGGATCCGCGACCCCTAGGGGGTCTACGGAGGTACTGCATGAGGGTCTGCATGGTTAGTTGATATTTTTATATTCCCCCCCTGCAATTTTTTCCCCCACTAATTGAAATGTCTTTAAATACTCATTAACATGAAATCAACACACTGTGGTAAACAGATAAATGGAGACAAAAGATGTCTTTCAGTCATCAATGCACACATTCAGCGTAACACAGGAGCTCTTTCAAGCTGGGCACCGTTTCCTTCACAACAACCAGGAATCAGAATCAGAAAAACTTTAATAATCCCAGGGAGAAATTAATTTCTTTACATTACTCCATCTGTAATAGAGTGACTATAGGACACAATTTCATACAATATATATAGTTAGGGGGTCCCTGCTCCATCTCGCCATCAGCTTGGGGGTCCTTGGTCTGGAAAACATAGAAGACCCCTGTTCTTGAGGGTTTTACTATCCATGTAACTTGTTTGTTAAACCTGCCTGGTATAATTTTCCAGGATTCCAGTATTCCTTTTTAGTATGTATTGAAATGGAATTTCAAATGGAAAAAATTATTAAAATAAAAAAAAAAACATTTGCACCTTAAAGACTACTTTCCTATTTTTCTTTTAATAATTACTCATAAAAAAGACCATTCAAGCAGCACATTTTTCCTGATGTTTTTGAGAATATACTGTAGGGGTGAAAGCTGCAGCTGCTACTAGTGTGAAGTGAATGGACAGCAACAAAGCATTAAAGCAACAATGGGGAAATGCTGTCCCCTCAATGCTAATGTAAACCCTGGTTGGATAAGGATTCAAAACTGGATATGAAGATGAAATCTGACGCACAGTTTCAGAGTTACAACTGATAAAATAGGCTATGGTGTAATTGAGCAATATATGAAAAAAAAAAAAAAAAAAAGAACTATGAACTAGTTCATTTTTTGGTTTTGAATTATGAACTATGAACTGAACTAGTTCATTTTAAAATGTGTGAACTGAACTTTGAACTAGTTCACGTAGAAAGAGAACTTTCCCAACACTGGATGGTAGAAGAGCGAGGGGCGCAAAAATGCTGGGACCTCATTTCCACTTGGATCCCTGCACCTTTTTCTCCCTCATGTCCCTCTGTTTTTGTACTTGCCCCAACTTCCCCACCGCCGCTGCCGTATCTAGACCCACGGCTAGTTTGTGATTGCCCCTCTTGCGATGTGGTGTGGAAAAACAGCGCAGACCACACTTTCAAACTGGGCATAAATCAAAAATATCTGCGTCATACCTGCGACGAGCTCACTGCGACACACTGCTGAGGGAGTATAACCAGCTCTTTAGTGGCGGCTGGTATGTGAAGCACAACCGGCCGATGGTCAGAGTATTTTTTTCCTATAAAACACAGCATTGCTGTGCAGAAGTATGTAAAACAATCTAAAAACTAAAGCGTTCCCAATCCAGAACCCTGCAGAACGCCAACACAAAGCCCAGTAGGAGTGTGAGCTTAAAACCTGTCCAGACTGGATGTGATGTAGAGCAGTTCAGAGATTAGCCACAGAGCTAACTCTTAGATTCAGCAGTCAGAGGAAATCATTCATCGAGTTTATTTCTGAACCAGTTCTCTGTGTAAAAACTAGGGGTGTAAATCACATCCATCATGGCGATTCGATTCAGTATCAATTTCCTGACCCAATTCGATTATTTTCGATACTCAAGAATACACTTTGATTCGATTCGATTAATCGGTTAATTTTTTTTTTTTTTTTTTTTTTTTTTTTTTTTTTACACCTTACAGGCTAAACAAAGTTTCAAGTTTGAAATAAATCAATGAAAGCTGTAATATCATTATGCATTTTCTTTAGAAACAACAGCAAATAACAGATGTAGAAAAGTTGCATCAAAAAATACTGCAAAAATACTGCACAATATCAGTGTAATGAGTTCAATGCAATACCTTGGCTCCAGAGAAACTGTCCAACATATTTTTTTAGAATGTAATAAATATACTCAGGAAAGAGAGATGTTGCGTATAGAGTTAGACAGGAATAAAAATAAACTAGATATAAGGGAATTGTTTCAAAGGTCATCTGGGGATGTAGTTTTTGGTAGTATTTTTAATTTTCTAAGAAGAACGGGTATTTTAGGGAGAATATAATAGTTTGTCTTGTCCATACTCCATTCTGGAAGGTGGCGGTAATGCACCTATAAGTTGTTTGCCAACCGCCATTAAAAAAAAGAAGAAGAAGAAGGCTCCAGAGTGTTGACGTCACCGCCCTCCTGGAGAGACGCTCCGCTGCTCCTCTCCCAGATTGTAGCTGACCGCAGACAGTGCAGCAGACAGGAGGCCGGCTTGTTTTGTTTTTATGACCGAAATTGCGGAAAACAACTCGTGAAGTTTGACCCGCTAGAAGAGCGAGGTGGGCGAGAACGCTGGGACCCTTTTTCCAGCTGAATCTCCGCTCTTTTTGCCCCATTGTCCCTCCGTCGTCGGACTAAACTCGCCCCCACTTCCTCATCGCCTCGGCCGTATCTAGACCCACAGTGTGTAGCCCAGACCACGCTTCAATATTGAGCATAATTTAAAAATGTCTGTGTGAAGCTTACTGCAACACACTGCTGTAAGAGTATAACCAGGATGCGCGGTAGGAGGGCAAAATAGGTTTAGCGGCACCGCAGCACGGGAGGGAGAATTACGCCCAGGAGCAAATGGATAAAAATAGACCGGAGGAAAAAAAAAACATGAATCGATTATCTTGCGGACGTGTCAATGCATCGGATCGTCGGCTTTTGGATCGATGCATCGATACAAAACGATTATTATTTACACCCCTAGTAAAAACCCACAGATCCCGTGGGAAGACAGTTACCTCCAGCAGCTCATCTTCAGGCCTTAAAACGCCGTGTTTGTCCACCGGGCCCCCAGGGGCCACTGATGAGATGTAGTGATGACCGTCAAACGAGTCCAACTCCACACCCAGACGCAGGATGTGGATCGGCAGCAGCTGGAGAAAACATGGAGAGTTTAGTCAGTAGCAGAACCGGAGCCGGGATCCATCTGGGACTCGGATCTTCACCTTGGAAGATTTCTGCAGCTCTTCATCGTCCTCTATGACAGGATCCAAGTTCACCACCTGGAACCAGACAGGCTGAGGTCAGGTCATCCAAAGAAGCAGAACCATCTGAATTCACGTGTTTGTGACTCACCAAGACCTGGTACTGAGGTCCGAGAGCGGCCTCCCATTTAGCCCGGAGCTCTGCATCAGAGGCTGGACACAGAAACACACACAGGTATTTATAAACCGGACTGGATCCAGAAAGGTCCTGCTGAAGTACTGACAGAAGGTCCAACTACAAGCGCCTGCATCTACGACAGAGGTTCTGCTGCTGCTTTGGGTCGGGTCATCCTCTGCTCTGACAGAATGGACCCTTTATTCTCTAAAGGTCAAACATTAATAAGATCATGTCTGTGCGCTGGAGGTTCTGTCAGTCCTTGACGGATAAAACTGGTTCTGGTTTAAAGGATAATCTGTCTGAACTTTCTGGACTGAACGAGGTTCAATTAGAAAGTAGTAAACAAACCGGACAACAAGAGATCAGAACCTGCAGAGACGAGACTGATAGGGTTGACCTCTCCACTCAGGTCTGCAGGTTCTCTGATTAAAAACATAAATTCAGAGCTTTGTGTTCTGGGCAGAATAGAACCGGACCAGCAGTGATGGTGAAGGTTTCTGCCTGTAATCAGGACTTTATTGGAGCGGAGCTAATTTGGTCTGAATAAATGTTAGAATGAACCAGACTCATCTGGACTGAACTGGGTCTGAGTTGGACCAGTTTGTAAAGTTCCTGCGGCCTGCTGCAGTGACGGACAGACGGACGGACCTCCGGATCGGCTCTTTAGAATTCCAAGCAGCTGCTGCAAATCTGAGCAGTAAGCAAAACCTGTTTGGCCCAGTTTGTTTAATAAATGAGGCGGCTCTCTGAACTGATGACCGCTCAGCCGCAGAGCGACAGTCTCTGTGTGAACATGAAAGCAGGCGGTCGGTTCTGATTTCTCTGACTCTGACTCCAGGCTGGGAGGAACCTGCGTTGATCCGTCTCCTGGCGTTCAGGTGTTTGTCAGCGGCGCTACAAAAGGCTGATTAAATTAGCATTGCTGACCCCGGCTTCCTCACAGTAAATTAATCTGCAGCGTTTGGCTGAATTAGCCTAGCAATACATCCCAGGGAGGCTGCAGACGGCTCGGACGCTTTCTGACGGCTGAACATCAGACTAAAGAGGAACAGAACCAGTGGAGCCAATCCCAGGAGCCCCAGTCTTTACCTGCTGCTCCATAAAAGCTCCCAGGCCTCAGCGCCGCCTTGTTCTGATCAAAAAGCTCCACGTTTAGGAACGTTCTGTTTAAAGGGAACCGATATGTTTAACTTGTAAACATCAAATTCTCTCAGACTGATCTGCAGATCGGAGGAACCCCTGAGAATAACCAAGAAGGTGTTAAAGATGAGATTCAGAGACATAAACCTCCTCTCCAGTGCTGACCCAAACCTTTTTTTTTGGAGTTTTTATGGCACTAGTGGCTGACAGGACAGGGGGTATGAGAGGGGTAGAGACATGCAGAATTCGAACCCGGGTCGCCTGCGTCGAGGAGTAAGGCCTCCGTACATGGGTTGTGTGCGCTAACCACTGCGCTAAGCTAAGCAATCTCCTTTTAAACTGAAAAGTGACTGAAAATTAATTTGGGTGCTATAAAAATAACAGAGATGGCAACAAAAAAACTACAAAGCAATATTTTCAATATATTGGGATTTTTATAAAAAACGCTGAATCTGTGTCCTCTTTCTGATCAATGTCCATCAGAGAGATATCCTGGGGACTGTAACTAACCAGATGTGCTCACTTTCATTCCTTGACATGAAAGGTGGCTCAGAGCTCGTCTGCTTAACTGTTTCTTTCACAGAGTCACCTGAGCAGCTAGTTTAACGTTACCTTTAACATAAAAAGTATCTATGAATAAGTGCTTCTATGTTCCTTTTATATCTGTGCTTCTTTCTGTATGTCTGCTTCGGTCTCCTTGATCCCAAGTCTCCTTGGCCCCTCACATTGAGCCTGGTACTACGGGAGGTTTATTACTGTTAAAAGGTAGTTTTCTCTCCACTGTTGCCAAAAGCATGCTGGGTGGGAGAGATTGCTGTAAAGTAAATGATGAAATCTAAGAAAACATATTCTGTCACCACAAGCTCATCCAGGTGGAGCCAATCCTGCAAATCAATGATTGGATGCAATCAGCTGGTTTTCCTTAACAAGAATTGAAAAGTTAAACATGGATCTTTGATGACAAGAACCATGACAAGTCATGGGTGTGAGTTTTTGTCGACAAAACGAGACGAAGTAAAAATGTTGGTGGGTGTTCTGTCAGACATTGCATCATTGTGCTGTAATTTGCTAAGCAGTATCAGCCGTGCTGCTGCGTCCTGTTTGGTCATGCCGCCCACCTGCCGTGCAGCGGTGAAAATTCTGTATCACCACAGATGGATCGTGGCAGCAGGAGGTGAAAATTAGCTGGAAATGTCCAAATCTGCGACTAAACTCTGCTTTTCTAAACTCTGCTTTTCCAGCTGTACTGCAGAAATGCATCTTTGCGCAGCTTAGCTTAGAGTCTGTGCTTTTTACTTCACACTAATGGTTTGCTCTCAGCAGTACGGCTCTTCCTGCTACTTAATAAACTGTATGGGGCTGATCATCCTCTGCCAAGCGTAGAAAATCCTTTTGTCTAACTATCAAGATTTTATTTCTTCCAGCTCACAAGAGGCAACGCAAAACCGTCTTTTATTTCTACCAAAAGGAATCCCTAAATTATATCCAAAGCAAATATTTTATTGCATTCTGTTTATTTTTGGATAAAGCCCAAGATGAAAATGTACATAGATCTTTGAAAATGTCTCTCTCAATGTTCTTGTTTCTATCTATTTGAAGATTTCAACATTTTAGTTAACATAATGAAATATAGGTCCAGATTGCCATGGCAATATAAGGCAATTATATAGGGTCTCTTTGTATTATTTTTTTTATATCAAACCCCTATGAATTTAAATCTATTTTGACCCCTGAGAGGCGGTCTGTCTGCTATTTGAACCAATATGATGTGTTGAACTAGCTCTGCTATTTTCACAACTTTTATGAGACATTTATGTATAAAGTAGGGCATCAATTATTAAAAAGGTTTATTTGAATTCTATAAATCAAGATTATCACGTATAGTAATGACTGGAATGTGACTAAAAGTAACAATAGTTTTAATCCTCAAGTCCAAAACTAAGACTAAATCTAAGATCGCTCTCAAAAATACACTGCATAGAGCTTCCTAGTTCAAAGGAGGGGAGCAACACTGACCGTCCAAATGATGTTCGAATGAATTGGACCAAAACATGATATTAACTGCAGAACCCAGTTTGTCTCTGATACAAACTGCTGTGAACAAACAACATGAAGGTCCAGATGGAAAGATTATAGGAACATCTCAGTGAGAGAGATGAGGTCAGCAGTTCAGAGCAGAACCATAATCCAAAGGTTCTAACCTCCATTTAGTCGTGCCGTGTTCAGATGCGTTGGATCCGGTTTCATCAACATGGAGCCGGACATTGCGGGTGGAGCCATAATCTCCAGATTCCTCCGAGACCCGCGGACTGACGCCCGCTCCACTGAAACACAGAGAGGAGGGAAACCTGTGAGGAACGACTTCTGGATAACCTGAAAACAGTTAATAGAACATTTTCAGAACTTTCTGTATGTTTTCCCTCCAGCTGATGAAGGTCCAGTCGTTGATCTGAAGGAGGCAGGGAGAACATTTCTAACTAAAAGGTTTCCAACAGAAACCAGAAAGTCATCACAAATCAGAACCACAGTCTGCAGCCTGATGCGGATCAGGTGTGACCTACAGCCTCCCTGGATCACTGTGGACCGTCCTCACAGAACTGTTTGGTTTCTGTTCCAGCAGATTAAGATCAGTGGAGGTTTCTACATCTTTGGGTCAGGGATTGTTGTTCTGGACAGGAAAAAATCCCCAGAACAGATGGAAACCATGTCTGCAGGTAGAGGTTTTGGACGCGTTCAGAGACCTGTTTAAGGCCAGAAAGTCCATGAACAGAACCAAGCTCAGTTCCGAACATGAGATTTTCAGACTTCATTGATAAACTGCACAACCGAACAGGTCCAAAAATCTGGATAATTCAGTTTAAATTATACATAAGAAAAAACGAAAACAATAATTAAAAAAAAATGTATGTATATATATATATATATATATATATATATATATATATATATATATATATATATATATTTGTCTTACAGAGATAAGAAAAAAGATGACATTCCATAAATTAAATGATATGAAGGAAGGTCACTACAAAAGCTTTGTGTCACACATAGAAATAACATCCAGAACCAGCTGGTGTCAGGTTTAATGGCTTTCTGAGCTTCTGCCTGGACCTCGGTGAGTGAGCACACCTGAACCGCTCCCCACTCTGACCTTTTGACCTCCTGACTGACTGATCAGCAGTGGCCATGAATCCAGAAGCAGCTTGTTTTCATGCAGATAACAGAAGCTGAGGAAGTTCAAAACAATTTCCAGGCTGGGTTTCCTCCGTAATGAAACAAAAGGACGTGTGGTGGAGATAAGAGCTGAGCGCGGCGCTCTTCCCTCTCCTCCTTAACTTGTTTTTCTGTGGCCCAGAGGCGGATCGGAGCGGGCAGCCGGCCCAGCGCCGCGCGGGTAAAAAATGACCCTGGACCCAACAAATTAATCTCTGCAGACACTGCAGGAGCAGAAAGAAGAAGAACGGTCTGCAAAGTTTGGGAAAATTACACCCGGCTGTAAACAAATTTGTCATCTTAATCCGTCTGCGAGGAAGAACCGCTCCGATAAGTTCTACCCATCCAGGAGGAACCGTCTGAGAGGGAGGGGGACCGAACTTAACAGAGAAGCAGTTTTTATCCTAATGATCCTCTTGGCCACTCATGAAAACAGGATCAGATCTTCTTAAATCAACTCTGCATTCAGGCCAGAACCCGGCCTGATCAGACTAGCTGATCACTTCTCTGAACAAACCGAGTGAGTAAAGATGACTGCGTCAGTCTTCTGATAAAGATGTCATGGCTGCTTTCTGCATCCCTACCTGTCACCATGGTAACCGTAATCAGCATTTTACTGCTCACTGCATTAATCACTGGAAGAGCTTGGGTTGTTCTTCCCCCGATCCCCAATCTGAAGGTCAGACAGTGAAAAGTCGGATTTTTCTCTATTCTTTAAATGCATCACAACCCAGAGCTCCCAGCTGGACCATCTTCTTCCTTTTCTTTCTTTGGATTTCAGTATAAATCAAACATAGGTAGCTGATATGGAGGTGGATTCAGATCCATCCAAATAGAACCATCAGAACCAGTCACTTCTACTGCAAAGGAATAGAGAATATTCGAATCTGCAGCCCTCAAAGATCAGCATTGTCCCATTAGAACCTCCTGCTTGCTTGGATTACCTCTAGATGTTCCATCTAAGCTGAAAGGATGACATCAGATGAAGCATAGAAGCAACATTTTAATTAAACCTGAGCATGAACATTTAAAGACTGTTCTCCTGTTTCAGAACCAAATCCTGCTCAGCTGTTAATCCCATGCTTGTTTTATTCTGTGGTTAGGACTTCCTGTCTGCTGGCATTAATCTACCTTCTGTTCATCTCTCTACCTTTATCCAGGGATCTCTCCAGGCCTTTGGCTTTCTTCCGGACCAGAGTCAGAACCACAGTCTGACCCGTCTGCTTCATCACCTCCAGAACCTCCTGATTGGTCATACCGTGGAGACTGATGTCATCCAGCTGGTCGGAGAAGACAAGATGCAAAGGAGTGAAAACAGATAAAACACTAAAGAATATCCACATCCAGAGGTTCTGGTCCACTTAAACAAACATATAACACCTTCAACAAATCATCCCAGCAAACCAAATCATATTTATGAGCCATTTTATCTATAAACTTCAACAGAAATCCCAAACTAGGCTGGAGCAGCAGTGTCCTCCATGCTTCATGGGGTTTCTTAGAAAAAGGGTAAAAACTAGAGAATAGGGAGAATAAAAAGGTGTGGATAAACAGAACAATCAATCAGGGACTCACAGCGAGCAGTCTGTCATGAACCCGGATGTTTCCGCTCTGATCCGCAGCGCTGCCAGGAACCACATGCTTTACAAACACACCCACCGCATCTGAGACCAGAAACACACATACAGCATTAAAAGACATCACTTACTTCAGAAAAACTTAAATAGTTTACTTAAACATCTTTCACAAGTTTTATCTTGGTAAACATTGGCAGCTTTGGCAAAAATTCATTAAATTGATCAATCCGTTGGTCTCTGGACTATGACAGTGTCCGGTTCCTTAAACTCAGAACGGTAAAGCTCAGGCTAGCCAAAACAGTCTCTCTATTGGAAATCTTAGGAGTAGTAAAAAAACTAACCATCTAAAAAAAGAGTTAGGACAGAGGAACATCTGGTCACAATAGAGGCGATGATGGGAGGAATGTCTACCCACCTTAAGGGGTACAGCAGAGGAAGGTCTGACCTGGTATCTTTGGTACATTTAATTATCTCAGCTGATTTAATCCCATATCTGCTCTGATTATCACATTTAAATTCATCATGGTGTTTTCTCGTTAAGGTAAGTTTAGATATCCACCAGAACGTGAGAATCCTTTCCTAAAGTGCAGCCAATGTGTCATGCTACATTCCTACCTTGGCTCGTCATGGGGTTGAAGCCAATGATGGAGATGCCAAGGCTCTGGCCCTCCTTCTTGGTAAGAGAAACCTGGTGGATCTCATATCCCTCCAAGTTTGGCTAGGATGGAAAACCAAACAGAACTCTGAGTAAAGCCAGTCAAACAGAACCATGATTTAAAAAGGCAAACTAAGCGCTAACCGTTTTACTCTGCTGACGCTGAGGTGGGGCTAGAGGAGACGAGGGAGATAAAGAGGTTATGGGGGCCGACTCCGGCAGTGGTGGGGCTAGAGAGGTAATGGGGGCGGAGTCAGGAAGTAGTGGAGGTAAATTAGCAATTGGGGCAGAATCAGGAGGTGGAGGTGCAGCCAAGGCAGCCGCTTTTTGTCCTTGGGGGTCCCTGGCAATCAGCATGGTCACATGACTGCCACAAGCCTGCAGCACCTTGACGACTTGGTCACTGGTGAGGCCGCTGGTGGGGGTCGATCCGATGCGCAGGATGTGGTCACCTGTTCGGAGACGGCCGTCCTGATTGGACAAAGGGGGTTAAGCCAATCAACGCACCGGCAGAAACAAAATTACTTCATGTTTTCTCAAGAAAACAACTTAAATTTTCAAAAATGTTGTTACATTTTTTTAAATACAGTTAGAGAAAGAAATTAAAATAGCCAACTATTACTCACTCTGTCTGCTACGCTGTTCGGGATCAGTGTTCGGACCACCACTCCAGTTGTTTTTCCGCCCACAATACCAAAACCCAGACCGGATCCATCGTTGAAAAGCTGGATCTCCTCGACATGACCCCACTGACCCTGTGATAGAAGAACAGACAGCAGCAGAGATGACTGAGGTTTTCCTGTTTCAGATGTTAAATCTGGCTTTAAGCAACACTATAATGACATTATAACCATCCATACATATTATAATGTCTGCTGGGTGAATATCATGTCAAAAACTACCAAATAGTGGGAAGATGTCCAACATTTACCTTAGTATAGCTGGCCTGAAAACTTATCAGTACATAACTTCCTTTGATTCAAGATTTTGCCAAAAAGATGCAAGCTTTCAGAAGCATCTGCAACCAGAACTAGTTTTCAAGATCCGGCTGAGACATAAGTCCTTTACAAACCCAGTAATCTGATTGCTGGACTCTAGCTAGATTAACTGAAGCTTGGTTCTAAGTTTGACTTTGGACTAAAAATACTTTACTTCAGTTTTGTTTTGATTAGGCTGAATACAATTTTGTCCCATCTATGCACTGATTTCTTCTATGCATTTAATCAGTCTTGGATTGGTTCATAGTAACGTGGTGACATCGTTATATAAAGCTGACTGCAGTCTGCATAATTATAGCAACATGTGTTGTTATAACCTGAGTTAGAAGCACGTAGATGTTGAACAGGAGGAGGCCCTAAGGTGGAGCCTTGGGGAATGCCGAATATGATTTTTTTTTTTGTCTCCGATGCAGATTTAACTAAATAGCGCCTGTCCTTCAAGGAGTCTTTAAACCAATCCAGTGCTGAACTAAAAAAGCAGCAATCAACATAAAAATTGAAACTGGACTTCTTAAAGGCCTTCTTTGGTTGGATGCCTCATTTTAGGACACAAAAGCGTGTCAATCTGTGTTGACACCATGGATTGAAGTTATTTTATTATTTTCCCATGTATTATTTTACAATTACAGTTACTCACAAAAGTGTTACCACAAACTAACCACATGAGAAGGAATGTACACCACTTCAACCCCCAGCTTTTCACCAAGTCACTAAGTCTCATACAAATCACGACATCAACAGAACTATTTCAACTTTATAATAATAATTGTCTTGATGCCAAAAAGAGCCCAACAGATTTTACTTTCACAAGTGGAGCAGTATGGCAATTGCCATATTGCTCCACTTGTTTCATGCATATAAATTGCTTTATTATAATTATGCAGGGAGTTTTACAGTTTATATGGACACTGCAATGTAAATAGAGCTAGAGCAGAAAAGCAGAAGAAGAAAAGGAAAAAGGAAAAAAAAAAAAGACGAAAGAAAGAAGAGATAGAAAGGAGACAACGACAAAACATTCTCAGTCCGCTTTGTCAACTGTAATGAGATGAAAAAAGAACAGCACAACCGAATGACATGGTACAAGACATACAACAAAGCAACACCTTTAAACTATCGCTTAAGTAATATTATTAAGTCTGACATGTACTCTGTGTTACCTGAAGATATGAATGTGGGGTTTCAGTATGGAAGTGAATCTCTGAGTACCTGGAGCCAAGCACCTGTAATAAAGTTGTTTTTCAACCTAGAAACATTTAAACAACCCTTGTGTTTGTCACATAAAGCACTCAATGATTTAACTGCATTCACAGATGGAGACTTTTTTAATAATTTCATAATTTCTACTGTGAAAAATTCCAGGATTAAAGAAACTAAATTAACAATTAATTTATTACTATTCTACAGTGAAGCCTTTCAGCTACTATTACTGGTAGCCTAGAGGCTTAAATCAGGAGGAGGATGTAGCTATTATGGGGAAAAAAAGGAAGAGCCGGGAGAATTGAGGTTCATCCAATTGGATCTGAACATCACATCATCAGCGTAGATGGAGAAAATGTACAGAAAAAGTAGGAAAAGAGGAAATCCGAAACTTAGGGAACTAATGTAACGGTTTTTACTGTCAGAGGAGTTGTGCTCTTGTCCTGCAGCCCATTATAGGAGCATGGAGACAGAAAAAAAAAGAAAAGAAAATAGTTAAAGAGAAGTTCAAGCAGCCATGAATATAGACGGGATTTAAGCTCAGATGAGATGAGAATAAACAGCTTTTGGATGAGAGATGAGAGGAACGGCTGAAACTGAACAGCAACTGAGTGACGGACATAGTGGCTCTAGGAGCTGCATTTCTATAAACAAACAGCCATGACAGACTGGAATAGATGCAAACAGTAAATAATGGCCCTGTTGTTTCTAACTGGGACACATGACTGTGTTTCTCTGAGCTGATTGGTCAGCAGGCTGGCTAACTGTACCTGAGCGGCGGCTGGTCATCGGTTTCCAGGTGAAAGGCTGTTTAGAGCTCAGCAGGTAATTACAGCTGCTTCAACCCTGCTGCCACACACACACACAGCACCAGGGAAATATCCTCTCTTTACACAAGAGTCAACATTTTACATGAGAGTCCTCACTTTACTGGTAAGAAACAAAGAACTAAAATGAACCCCAAAACAGCCAGGAATAAGTCGTCACTTCACCAGTAAAACACAAAGATAACATCCTCTCAGCTGCAGGTACGCCCCTCCCCCTTCCCCCATGGTTTCTTATTCCCAACCTGACCCGAACAGCAGCTCTGCCTGTGGACAGAAACAAACCTCCCCTTCAGTCGGTTCCAGAAGCTTGCAGTCTGATGAACCTGAACCCAGGGAGGAGCTGGACGCTCTGCTTCCCAACCGAAGTTCACAGGTTTCCCAGGGAAGGATCTATTACCCAAGACAGCACTAAAACGACAGAACGGGGCCATCGGGCCATCAGGAGCCATCCAGGTCAGGAGTCTTTTAAGGAGCAGATGTTTGCTGACAAACACCTTCTTCCATATAGAATCCTCTTTCTTCCAGGACGTCCCATGGTTGAACCAAACCATCACACCTCCACCACCATGCAGACAGTCGTCATGAGGAGTTTGTCCTGATCTTGCGTTTGGGTTTCTCCAGATATGGAGCGCAGCAGGTCAAACATGTCTCCTCTGTCCAGAGGACATCGTCCCTGAAGTCCTGTCCTTCAGCAGATGCAGATTTGCTAACATGAGTCCTGCTGCCATCTTGGTTCTGGAGGGAGGAGGTGTTCTCCTCAGCAAACAGAACCCAGTACTGATAACTTCATGAAGAATTGAGCTGCTGGACAGAGTCCAGTAGAAGACAGGAAATAGAACATGGACATTTAAACCAGGATCTAAGGGGAGCAGAAATGGATTATTAATGGCAGCCGGTGATCCCAGGTTTAATTCAGCCGTAATGATTTGCGTCATTATCACACAGAACTACACTGTCCCTTTTGTTTGGTTTCCTCCTCCTCCTGTGGGCCTGTTGGACCCGGGCCACATTCTGCATTCCGGGCCCTCGACCCTCCCGCTGTCGTTTTATTCATGTCCCGTTCGGATTGAGGTCACGCTTAATGGAGCCGTGACAAGAAACACGACTCCGTCCCGGAGGTTTACAGCCGCTCTCCAGCACAGCAGCTTCAGGTGTGTCCGACCCGCCAGGCCGCCGCAGCCGGACCGCTTTTATTCTGCTCCCACCGTCTGAAGCCAACAGCTGTAAAAAAAGCCTCCCATAAAGAAAGCCATTAATCTGCGACTCTCTGATGATTTTACAGCTTCTGTCTATTTAGTGGATATTATCCCAGCAGGGACTGGGATGGGCCTGGTTCTGGATGTATTTATAGGCCTTCTAAAAGCAGAGGGAACAGAACCCTGAAGACGCCTTAAAATAAATGGACCTGAGCAGAAAGTTGGAGGGAAACTCCTCCTCAGTTCATTAGAAACTTCAGCTCTCAGGTTCTCCTCCAGTTGACATCTGGATACACTGATGACGCAGCGTTTATACTTAGTCCAAATATACCAACAGGTTGCCCGCTCAGGTGACCACAGGGGGAGCATCCATCGCATTTAAACATGTCTGACACCAAAAGAACCAAGTTTGACCCAGTAACACGACCTGCTTGCGTTTTTTATTTTCCCTCTTTAACCTGATGGACAGACACACCATGCCGAGAAGCAACGACCAGGAGCAGAACCATCAGAACACATGGAGAACTGGTTAGGAGCAGACTCTGGAAGGACCTTGACTTCATTTATGGATCAGAGGACAGCAGCTCGGATGTTCTGGACAGGAAGCTAAAATGTGATCCTGCAGGTTCTAACTTTCAGGACATTGGAGAACTGATCAAAGTCCAGAACTGGTCCTGGTGTCTGGATCAGGACTTTAAATCTGAATGAATCTGCTGATGCTTCTGGAGCGAATGAAGAACTAGATGAGAACTAGTGACCCGTCGCAGTCTGGTTCTCCTGTCTGCCAAGGCTCGACTCGTCAGTCATGTCAACATTCATCGATCGCTCTCCCTCTTGGATCCAAACACAGAGTGTCAGGAGTGCCGCCTTTGGTGCAGCGCTAACTTCATTTCCTCTGAGGTCATAAAAAATGATTCGAGTCAAAGTCAGCAGCCTCACAGCTCCTCACAAACAGGAGGTCTCACTCTGATGAGATGCAGACGCTCTCAAAGTGACCTCCAGTCTGAATGAAGCTGATTTCAGCAAACGGTCTAAGCTTCTGCTGCTTTTGGGTCAGGACTGAAACAATTTAATCCAGAACCATAAAGGAATGGACCTAGGTCTGGTTCATGTGCAGAGCAGCCATGTCCTCTGGCTGAGGCCTCTGATGGAGCCTCAGGACCACAGAGGAAAGGCTTCTCACTGGTTTTTAATGTTAAGGTGGAACTGAGGAGTAAAAGCAGGAAAACATGGAGATTAAAATCTAGGACTGGAAAAAAAATCTGTTCCAGCAGGAAACAAACTGCTGACTTTATCACCTCTGAATCAAAACCAGAAAATAAATTAGTTTAACAAACACTCCCAGCAATCCTTCTTTATTATATTTTTTTACATTTTCTTATGATGCATAAAACATTCCACCTTTTCTTTCTTCTTCTCCAATGGACATTAACCAGGGAAATAACTCTGAGCTTCTTGAAAACGTGTAAGGATCAAACATTTATCTCATCCTGAATTTCAGCTGCTTCTCAGATTAAAAGTACAACTCACCCTAAGGTGGGTGGTAAGAATGTACTTTCCAACATTTTTCTGATTTTCTTAAAGTAATATTCTTTGTGGTTCCTCTTTCCACCTTGAGATCAGGTGAAATTTAAGTTAGCAGTAGATATTTTAGCTAGAAGTTGTTTATCCTTTCTTCACATCTTAAATCTGATGTTATGAACCAACAGTTACTAAGTACTTGAGGAGCCAGTTTACTAAATACTTTTTTATTTTATCATGTTATTTCTTTGATGATTTCTTTCTACCCTTACTTGGGTAGAGAAATGTTAAAACAGCGCTGCTCTTACTTTAGTAAAATCTTTGGGGACTTGAACCTTGACTGTAAGCAACAAGATTCAGCCTGACCCTGAAAAAAAAAATGCTGAAAATTGAAAAGTGAGAGTCAGCAGACCCTGAGGGGGCGGGGCTGTGGTCGGGACAAGTGAACATGGAAGATAGCTAAGCAGGCTGGTTTATGCTCAGAAACCAGGTCGTCCGCATGTGTGTCGCAGTGAACGCGAATGTGCTCCTGCCCCTTCCGCAGACCTCTCCAAAATTGTAGGTGACTGCAGACAGTGCTGCAGACAGGAGGCCTTTGATTGGTCATATCTACATCCGCTGTACTGTATTTCCTGTTTGGTACCTTCCGGTTTGTTTTGTTTGTATGACCACCATTGTGGAAAACGACTTGTGAAGATGGACCGGCTAGTAGAGCGAGGTGCACGAGAACGCTGGAACCCTTTTTCCACCTGGTTCCCGGCTCTTTTTCGCCCTCATGTCCCTCCGTTGTCGCACAAATTTGCCCCCACTTTCCAACAGCCTCGGCTGTATCTAGACCCACAGCTAGTTCCTGATTGTCCCTCTTGAAAACTGGGACACTATCCCTTTACCACTGAAGCTATCACCTAACTGTCTTTAAATAATTATTAAAACAGAATTTTTTAAAGAAAAAAATGAGAGCGCATATCATCATTAGAACTTCTTTTATTATTATATCTTCCATACAGGGGCCAGGACGTGATCTACAGGGGCACTGGCCCCCGTTGGCCCCTGTCTAGAACTGCCCATGATGCTCACCCATTCAGAACCAGGGGAAGCATGAGAAACCGATTAAACCATTTTGGACTGTGGGTGGAAGCTCATTACCAGAGCCCAGGCCCGTCTCGCTGCACAAATTCCTATTTGTAGTAACTGTTCTGATTCTGGTCTCTAAAGGCTGAATCCAGTGCTCCAAAAAGTCAAACGGAACCTAAATGTTTCTGGGAAGAGTTCTAGATGTTTGAGTCCCATGGATCTGGGCCCGATATTGGTTCTCAGGAAGCGGGTCAGAACAACCAACATCACAGTTTCCAGAAACCATGTAAAAACTAAACGAAATTAGAAAGAAATAAGACCATGGACCCCAACCGCCTGAGCAGCTTCAGAACATCAGCTGCCTACCTTGTTGATCAGACCTCCTTCAGGGGACCAGTCCCGGGCCACCACCAGCTGCGTCTCCCCAGGCTGCTGCAGGAGGCTCAGCGCCTGCTGATGGCTCATCCCCGGTTCTACTGGGCTGCCGTTTATCACCAAGATCTGGTCCCGCTCCCGGAGACGGCCGTCCCTGCAAAAGAAGTCCGTCAGAACGCCAGTCCAATCATGAAAAAGTTTAGAACATGTTATATAGGTCTGGTCGTCTAATTCAGGTTTGTCCGGTTCTGTTTGGGTCAGAACGGTTGTGTTGTAGTTGTTCTGTTTGGATCAGAATGGTTGTATGTTTGAGTCAGAATGGTTCTGTTTGGGTCAGAATGGTTCTGTTTGGGTCAGAATGGTTCTGTTTGGGTCAGAATGGTTCTGTTGTAGTAGTTCTGTTTGGGTCAGAATGGTTCTGTTGTAGTGGTTCTGTTTGGTTCAGAATAGTTTTGTTATATTGGTTCTGTTTGGGTCAGTATGGTTCTATTATAGTAGTTCTGTTTGGGTCAGAATGGTTCTGTTTGGGTCAGAATGGTTCTGTTTGGGTCAGAATGGTTCTGTTTGGGTCAGAATGGTTCTGTTTGGGTCAGAATGGTTCTGTTGCAGTGGTTCTTTTTGAGTTATGAACGGGTAATCAGGAGCCAGAGAAAACGCTGAGCTGGCTCCAGCTGACAGAACCTGCCAAGCTAAGCCTCTGGGTCAGAACAATCTAATTCACCTGTGGGCGATTCCTCCCGGCTGGATGTGTTTGACGAAGACGCCCTGACTGGCGGTTCCTGTCGGATTCAGACCGACCACGCTGAAGCCCAGCCCGTCTGAAACGGACCGGGTCAGGCTGATCAGCTCTGTTTGACGGCCCTGCAAACAAAACCACAGTTCAGATGTTTGCCGTTTCCCCGACAGCGAGTGTGCAGAGGCTCCGCCTACCTTTGCTGCAGCCAGGATCCACCTCTGCAGGTAGTCAGCTGTGGGCGGAGCCTGAGAGACGTGTGGTGCCGACCCATTGGTCAGAGTGGAGGTGGAGGCTGAAAGGGGTGGAGTGGAGCAACTGGACGGATCGACGGCGCTCATAATGAGCTGGCCCCGTCTGGAGAAGCTGAAGTCACTGCGGGCATCAGGAGGCATGCTGCTCAGCTGTGGAACAGTAACAGAACCGGAGCAGTTAGGGGAACCCAGAACCAATCAGAGAAAAAAACATTTCATTCAAAACATTTTCTTAAAATTTTCCTTTGAGCTGGAAAAAACATGTTCAGGATAAGCTAGGACTTCCAGCTAAGAGGTCCGGCTTTAAGGAGGAAGACTCAGAAGGTCCGAGTCGGCCCTGAAGGATGTTGGACCGGGTCGGACCATCTCTATGGAAACAGACAGAAGGTGTCTGAACAAAAAGTTCAGCCCAGAGAAACCAATCATATCAGAACCAGAACAGAAATTCCTGTGTTGTCTCCCTGCCTTTAAGATATCAGGTGTTTCGCCAGACGTTCCTCTGACATCCATTAAAGGTTCCTCTGCAGATGGACCGGAAGAGGAGCCCAGAGCCTACGTATGACACATTGGTTTCATCTGATTCATGGCTGGATAGAGCCAGAAGAGACCCAACGACCCTGACCAGGAGAAGCTGTGGTCAAATGGACCGGTTCTAGAATGGTGGGGCTGCAGCTGGTGATTCATTTTCTGTTTTATTGATTCATTCATCTAGAAGAGAAGCTGGTGATAAAAATGAACCGATAAACAAATCAAACGCCCATCCAAAGTAAAAAGAAATATTTTCATTACATTTTAAAAAGTGATAAAAAAGGTCTGAAACAGAACAAAACTCAAATCAAAGATCAGAGATCCAAGCAGAGGTTCTGGACAGAACCGATTTACAAACAAAGAAGGTTTTATTATTTACACAGGGAGAAATTTAGGACAGTTTGACTTTAAACCTGTAGGGATGGATGGATGGACGGACAGACGATAAATAGTTCGACGGCCAGATGGATGGATGGATGGATGATGGATGGATGGATGGCCAGACGGATGGATGGATGGATGATGAATGGATGGACGCCCAGACGGATGGATGGATGGATGATGGATGGATGGATGGATGGATGGCCAGACGGATGGATGGATGGATGATGGATGGATGGATGGCCAGACGGATGGATGGATGAATGAAGGATGGATGGCCAGACAGATGGATGGATGAATGAAGGATGGATGGACAGCCAGACGGATGGATGGATGAATGAAGGATGGATGAATGGCCAGGCGGATGGATGGATGGATGGATGGATGGATGGATGGATGGATGGATGGATGGATGGATGGATGGATGGATGGAAGGACAGCCAGGCGGATGGATGGATGGATGGATGGATGGATGGATGGATGGATGGATGGATGGACAGCCAGGCGGATGGATGGATAGATGGATGGATGGACGGACCATGAATTGATGCATGGATGGATGAAGGATGGATAGATAGATGGATGGAGGGTGAGACGGATGGATGGATTGATGCTTGGATGGATGGACGGATGGACAATAAATGGATGGATGCTAGAAGGACGGACAGATGGATGGATGGATGGATGGATGATAGATGGATGGATGGATGGATGGACAGACAGATGGATGGATGATAAATGGATGGATGGATGGATGGATGGATGGATGGATGGATGGATGGATGGATGGATGGATGGATGGATGGATGGATGGATGGATGATAAATGGATGGATGGCCAGATGGATGGATGGATGGATGGATGGATGGATGGATGATAAATGGATGGATGGCCAGATGGATGGATGGATGGATGATAAATGGATGGATGGCCAGATGGATGGATGCATGGATGGATGGATGATAAATGGATGGATGGCCAGATGGATGGATGGATGGATGGATGGATGGATGGATGGATGGACAATAAATGGATGGATGCTAGAAGGACGGACAGATGGATGGATGGATGGATGGATGGATGGATGGATGGATGATAGATGGATGGATGGATGGATGGACGGACAGACAGACGGATGGATGGATGATAAATGGATGGATGGACAATAAATGGATGGATGGATGATAAATGGATGGATGAAGGATGGATGAATGGATGGATGGATGGATGGATGGATGATAGATACATGGATGGATGGATGATAAATCGATGGATGGATGGATGGATGGATGGATGGATGGATGGATGGATGGATGGATGGATGGATGGACGGATGGATGGACGGATGGATGGATGATAGATGTTGAGTTCATCTGGATCCAGTCCAACATCCTTTCCAGTCTTGCAATGAATCACATGAGGTTGTATTTTTTTCCACCTGTTGAGAATGGAAGGCTTTCTTCCATCACCTGATTGTTTCTGGTCAGACGTATGAACCCAGGCTTGTTTGAAGGAAGTAATGTGCTGAGCTGCATCAGGATGAAGAGACGCATGCAAGGACGCGGTCCACAAAAGACGGGGAGTTAAAAATGAGGCTGAGGGCCGGAGGTAAGTGGGAGGAGAGAGCTGGAGAAAGGAAAATCAATAGATTCCTCTGCAGGCTCTTCCTCCGTACAGGTAATGTATTAATGACCTTTACACTCACATTGTGGAAACTTATCAGTCTGCAGCTTATTTGGGCCGGGCTGACGGAGCAGGATCGCGAGCCATTTCATCAATACGGCCGGGACAAGGCCGTTACTCAGCCCAGGACACCAGATATTAAAGGCTGATAGATCCGCAGGAGGCAGGGGATAAATACCGCAGCTCCGCCCACACCTCCGCACGCCGCTCTGACCTTCGCAGCACTTAGAGTATGAAGCTCCGCGCAGCTTATTGCCATTACCTTAATTTGGCTGCAGATTGTTTATTGTATAGGCTGCACGTCAGAGAGAGCAGCGGCTGAATACAGATGGACGAGCAGAGGGAGAGAGAAGGCTCTCAGAGCGGCTCACGTGACCCTGGGGCGGAGCCACACCTGGCAGAGCGGGGGGAGGAGGCTGCCAAAACATGGGCCGGTTCTGATATGATCCTTATTACAACTGGAACATAAGCAGCTCAGTCACTGACAGGATCACAGCCACTCTGCAGATAAAACACGTCAGAAGCTAAGAAACAAGGTCCAAGTAGATCCTGTGGGATCAGTAGAACCTGAAAGCTGGGAGTTAAAACGCTCCATGTGTTCCTGGGAACATATTTACATCTGGAAAAGGAAATACTCAGACTTAAAAAAAAAAGAAGGAAAACTGAAGAGTTATGGAAATTCCTATGTTAAGTGGGTCACTGAAGTAACCACACTGACTTTATCTGTAACTGATGGAGGGCAGAGAGCAATCTATAAGCCGTCCAATCAGAGAGCAGATCTGCTCAGGGTGTGACTGCTGATATCACTGCACAGGTCCGCTCCCTCTGAGCCAATCAGATTACAGCCTGGTTACTGATCAGAACCAGGAAACTTTTTTCCTTTCAGGGATTTTCGTTAAACTAAACCAAATGTAACAATTTAACCGAGGCAGTGGAGCCTCGGTTAAATTGTTGGAGTATCCTCTACTACAGCCTATATTTACTGAAGTAAAAGTTAGATTTAACCAACCAAGAAATGACTCTAATAAGTGTAAAAAGCATTTGTAAAAAAGCTACTTGACTATTAATTAATATTTAGAAGCTATTTAATAAAACATTTTAAACAGTAAAATTAAATGTAATATAAATATAATAAAATTAATGAATGCAAAGTAAGTTTCTTAATATAAGTTTTTTTTTCTTCCAAATTTAATAAACCAATACTTACAGATATGCAAGTATTCGGCTGATATTAGTTTAAGGCCAATACCGATTATTTATTTCTCCAAATAACAAAACGATAACAATCTTTACAGAAATTTTAATTTAAACAAACAAAAAACATCAATTAAGAAAAATTATTAAACATTACCAACAGATAGTAAATGGAGAAGGTGGAAAAACAACCTCATTATATGATGTCAAGCCATGGATGCTGAATACACTGATGAATCAGTGAATATGTGTGGGTATTGCCTGATGCCGATACAAGGAAAACAAACAGCAGCTGATGTATCGGTCCAGCTCTACTCCCAGCAGTGAATGTATTTACAGTACAGACAGAAGTATTTGGTCATCGGTTTATACATGTGTATGGAATTTGATGACATCCTACTCCTCATCTAAGGAGTATAATTAGTTGATGGATCCAGACTCCCAGCAAAACAACTTTAAATATTCTGTAGACATGCACTGCAGGGCTCATCATTGGATGGAAACAAAACAAAAAAAGCAATTAAAGAATTAATCTCCACTGGTTCATCCTAAATGGGATCTCTGAGGTTGAGGAGAGGATTCTGTGCAGCAAACCTTCAGTCTATGTTGAAGAGTTGCTAATTTCAGCCAATGAGAAAACTAAATGTTAGCTGAAACAGACCTAATGAGCTCAGCAAAACAACAAAGCATGAGTACAGGAAGCCAAACTTTTACTTAAATTGTACATCTCTGTGTGTGTATCCGTTGCAGTAAATCTACTCCTGAAATTAGATTTTGTTTAAGAAGTTACTTAAAGGTGTTGGTGTAAGGCTTCAGTTAAAATCCAGAGTGAGAAAGTGGATTGTTTTTTTTACCCCATTTACATTACCCTTGAAAAACCGTGCCGAAACCGGTCCGAGCTCAGTAACTGAGGTAACGCTAACTGCTCATTAGGGCTGGGAAATTAATTGCATTTGCAATATAATCGCAATTTTACAAAATGCAATTTTCAAAATCCAGAGGAACACAAGTTGGTCACATTACATTAAAAAAAGAGAACATTTCCCAAAGTAGCCCTTAAGTTTGCGGTAATATTTTTAAAGTGGGTTTGCCACAGAAAGGAAGAAAAAAGTTGCAGCTAGCAGACAGATCCATGCAAGTAGAGGTAAGCCCTTTATTGCACAAAGGTTACAGAACGTTCCTGGAACAATGAACTCTGGATAAGCAAGCTTTCAAGGCAATGAATGAAATTTAAATCTTGTGTGCACGTTCTCCTTTAGAGGCGATGAGTGTAACTCCTCCCAGCCAGTAAGTGGCGCCCTGAAGCTCGCCTGCTCAGCTAATGCTAACCAAATTTAAGCTTAGTAATTCAGAAAAAAGGCAGCAACATTTGGATAGCCTCTGAGCTCCTTTGCTTCGCTGACTCACCACCATTGGTCAAAACCTTGCTGGATGTTCAGCACCAATGTTCACCAGTGTTCACTGTAGTTTTGCTGCTTGTTGAAGATGCGTTTCTCAGTGCTCTGATTGAGCAAATAGGACCTGGCTATGACTGATTTCTGTCTCATGTGACTTCAAACTACGTCTCCTAGTATCATCTCCCGTCTCTGCATCAAAATCAGAAGTAAATATTTATATATTAATATGATATTTACAAATATCAATGATATTTATAGTATACTTTTACTCTGCACAGCTCCAAACTTTCCATGGAAGTTTCTAAAAAAATTATTCATCAAATAAAACCTTTAAGTATTCGTAATTAGGTACTGCCCACTTCTGCTGGTTAAACAGCTCTAATTTGATTGGCTGAACCTTCTACCTTTGTCTCAAGCTCATTGGACCCTGATGATGGCATCCAAACAACCTCAGAGGCTCCGCCCCATTGACCTGCTGGTAGGTAAGATTTAGCCTGGAGCAGGTTTCGTGGAATCAGAACCAGAACCCAGCAGGATACAAACAGAATGGGGCCAGTTCCACAAAGCCCACTGGGCCCAAAGCCCGCATTAACCACAGAACCAACCTTCCACACCAGGGGTCCGTTTCACAAAGCAGGTTTACAGGGAAACTGACTTTTCCAGACCACAAAGAGAGTTTATCCAACCTCTGTTTCAGTCACCGTAGAAAAATTCTCCCCAGACCTAACCTGGTCGGTAGCACGTTTTTTTCAGTAAACATGGATTCTCCTCCGTCTCCACTCTCCTTACAGCCAATCAAGCTATTTTATTTCCTCATTTAGTCAGATTTCTGTAGTAATTTTGTAAAAAAATAAATAAATAAATAAAATTATATATATAATTTCCTAGGTTTGTTTGGCTACGTTCACACTGCAGGCCTTGATGCTCCATTCCGATTTTTTTTTTTAAATCGATTTATTTGCGTTGCCGTTCACATTTCCAAATATATGCGACTTGTATGCGATCTCCTGTGTGAACTGGAGTGGAGGACGCAGTGACGTCACAGGCCAGCGTGCTCGTGTTTCATACACTTACTCTAGCTTAGGTATGGTATGTAGTAGGTAATATTCTTTTTTTTTCCTATAAACAAATAAATACTAAATGAGCCAATGTATTTTAATGGGATTTTATGTGTTAGCTATATATAAAGCAGTGTATAATTTTAGCAGTGTATAACATTTTGGAAAATTATATAATTAATTTTCTGAATAGAATAACATATTTATAGGGAGAGGATTCTACAACTCAGTTGACAGGGCATGAGATTATTTGTGGTTTGTTTAATACCGGTAGGAGCGAAATGCTGATCGTTTTATTTTCATTTAGTTATATTTACAGTACATGAAGCACTACTGAAATAATTTTCAGATTACACATAAATAGATTCATTAATTCCACGGGGGAAAAGGAATTACTTTAGGGTTAGGATTCACTCGATGATAACAACCTAATGAGCCTACTGGCCCAATCTGAAGCCATTCTATGGGACTGATAGCCGCTTATAACGGACATTTATTGGGATGATCACATTCGAAGCGCACCTGCAAACGGCCACTTTATTATGTACAAGAAGACAGAATCAACATGATGATCCACAGGTTCTATATATTAGAACAACGTTTTTATACTTCATCCTCACCTGCTGCCAGAAGATCTCACCTAAATAGATACATTGATCTATTACCATTCATGAAATTATCCCATAATATTTTCATCTATGGCAAAAAATGTTGATATACTGATATACTGAATGTATTCACTAATGTATTCCTAATATTTGAAAATACTTTTTTTTCCTTTGTCTAAATGACCATTTCAAACAACATGGCACTCTCCACTTCCCTAATAAACATTCTATAAATTAATTTCAGAACTCCATATTCCTAATATTACTGGTCAGCATTCGTATTATTTTAACTATTAAAATTGTTTTTCAAATATCATAAATACATTTTCAGTCAATCTGATTAATGTCAGAACGGCCACTTAAAATGTGTAAACATTTCCACATATATAAATCTTAATTCTTATCACAACCCTAGTATTTATAACCCTTGTAATTTTTAAAATTCAGTTTCTGTTAAAAAAAAATAATATATTACAGTTAGGTCTAGGAGTGTGATTTTGATCGGAAAAATCTTATTTTAGTGATCTACAAATGGAACAACCGAGAGGAGAGTGCTTTTAATAAATGTATAAACGTCTTGCCATAGCCCACTTCCTGTATTAACGTATGCATTAACTCGAGCAACAATCCTCCTTTGCCACCTTCCTCTCCTTTGTAGTTGTAACACTCTTTTTTAAACACACTGTCCTTTTTTATTTTTCTGCATTTCTGCATTAAAATCTCTTCTTCCAGTGGGGTGAAACAGGCACTTCCTGTTGCCTGTTGTCATGGTGAATCAATGAATCAGTGCTCCGCTGAGAATAGCTTTTCATACTTGTTGTGCACGCGTTTAACTCTGAGTGGACCTAGTTAAAATTGATTGAAGTAATTGATATCAGCCGTTGTGAAACTGAACACTTCGAGTTCCCGACTTCAGGATAGATCAATTTAGAGTTGCGAATTTAGAACCGATTTTTTTAAACCTGCTTCGTGAAACTGACTCATGTAACCTTTCATTTCTTTGAGCTTCAAGAATTTATGTTTTTATCTTGACCTGACGCAGCAACACCAGGGGTCTGAATTTTGATTAGTCCTAAGCAGACCAATCAGCAGCTGAAGATGAAGATACATGACGTCCTGCTAAAAATAATACAAAATGATCTGATCTAAGGAGACAAGAACCAGATACCCGTTCCCATCATCTTTCCAGCACCAGGGTACCGTCAGGTTCTTAAGAGGGAGTCTCACCTGGTTCTGGAGCTGTCTGAGCGAGTACTGCAAGGTCAGGATGTGGCTGAACAGCGGACTCTGCAGCGTCTCCCGCAGGTTCCCCAGAGTGGCGCTGTGGGTCCACTCCTCCTTCTGGACCAGTTTGGACTGCAGCCGCTCCAGAGCTCCCAGTACCTGCTGGCGCTCTGCGGAGGAAACTGGAACACACAGACAAACGGACCTTTTAGGTTCTGATTCATGCATCATGCTTACATCAACTGGGCTTCACTTTCTGGTTCAGGAGAACCCAACAGAACATTCTTTGTTTAGGAAATATGTGCTTATCTGAGTTACAGTTAATCATTAGCTCCAGAACCCATAAACAGAACCCTGAGTCCAAGCAGAAAAAAGGGGGGAGGACTTACCCACAGGGACATTGTCCAACATGGCCGTGCTGGATCCGCCTGAACACAAAGAACAGAGAGATGACCCAAATCAGACGGTACACAGTGGAAACGGGTCCAACAGGACACCAAATCACAGATTCTGTTTAATATTAGCGGAACCTCTGCAGCAACGGGCAGAACCCCAGGCAGAAAACTCCATGTCCACTAACAGCAGGGGACAGACTGGGTCCAATTGGACAGTAGTACCCAGTACTCGACCATCCTCCCCATACCATCCCCAGTCACATTTTATTTCTGAATGTGTAAAATTTCTACTATATATTAACAGTAATGGCAATAATATTGCCCTTTCAATATCTGTCGTCCTGTGGGTCACATGTAGCCTGAAATAAATCAAATCAAAGAAGTGTCCTTCCATGGCTATGGAGCTGATCCCAGTTGGAAATTAGTCCCTAACTATGTAGGGGCAGTGATAGCCATGCCAGTCCATGGACTGACTGCAGTTCTACTGTAAGGTGCCTCGGTCAAGGTCAATGACCGGCGTACCTGACATGTAATAACCAGACCATGCATAGTGCTTTAGGTTAATAGACTATATTAATTAGGCTATGTGTGCTTCCATAAAAAAAATAAATCCACCATCCCCCTTCTTTTTTTATTTTTTACTACTAGACTACTGGTACCATGATTGGATCGAGAACCTGGACAAGAGGAGATGAATCAATCCAAAAGGTTCTGAATGTTTAGCCGATCAGAAAACTAATCTCAATCTAAGCTTAATGTCATTAGAATAATACCTGGGTCATTTCCACAGGTGGCAAGTAACAAAGTACAAATACTTCCTTACTGTACTTAAGTACACTTTTTAGGTATCTATACTTTACTCCATTACTTTTTTTTCTTCCTACTTCTGACTTCTACTCATTACATTTTCACACAAGTATCTGTACTTTCTATTCCTTACATTTTTAAAACAAACGTTACTCGTTACTCTTGGCTTCGGTTTAAGGTTTATAAATATTTATTTCACGTCATGTGCACCATCCAACGCAGATCATTGGCTCCATCCACATCTAGTTAAAACTAGTGTAATTGGATGAGTCATATAACGCAAACACTCCTTGATTAGCTAAAGAAAATCATCAGAAGCAAGAAGGTGTTCTTCAAACTGCAAATGTGAATTGTCTATGCCATGCTACAATGTTGGAAAAGATGTTGAAATGTCTGAAAGGTCGAACGCAGGCGAGAGCGTATCGGGAGACGGAGACCAACAAGTAGGGTTGTCAAAAGTATCGATACTCAAAAAAGTATCGATACCGAAACGTTGTATCCGGATACGATACTCATTTTCAAAAGTATCGATACAGTGCCACCACCAGTGGCACCTAAGTAGCCATTCATCTAAAGTGCAGAATAGAGGACAATGCACTTTCTGAACACTGTGTGATTGAATAATTCTGTGCAATTATTTTTGTTTCTTAACCGGTTTGGCTAGTGTCATTGTTATGTGTGCAAAGCATAGCCAAAGAAGGAACACTTCATTTTAGTTTTGTAAGTTTTTATCAAGCTTGCTTAATATTGTGCACAGCAAACAACCACAAAATATTGTTCTTATTGTTTATTGTATTTTATTTTTTAAATGAAAATATTTCTGTTGAATTTTGGAGTCTTTGTTTTTATCCTTGTGTTATCGAAAATGGTATCGAGTATCGAATATTTTCCTTAGTATCGGTATCGAGTTGAAAAGTTTAGTATGGTGACAACCCTACCAACAAGACCTCCCTCATCCTTGGTCCTATATCAAAGAATTTTTCCAAATAGTCGTAAAATTGAGCTTTCAACTCATATAGTGGCATCTGGCTGTTTTTTTTTTTTCAAGGTTAATTTATACGAGGGGTCTTCAACTTTTTCCAGGCCAAGGACCCCCAAACTGATGGTGAGATGGAGCGGGGACCCCCTAATTATATATATTGAATCAAATTGTGTTATATCAAACTGGTCACTCTATTACAGATGGAGTAATGTAATGAAAGTAGTTTCTCCCTGGGATTATTAAAGTATTCTGATTCTGATTCCTGGTTGATGGGACAGGTGTTGTAAATGAAACAGTGTCCAGCTTGAAAGATCTCCTGTGTGTCGCTGAATGTGAGCATTGATGACTGAAAGACATCTTCTGCCTCCATTTATCTGTTTGCTACAGTGTGTTCAATTCATGTGTATTTAAAGACATTTCAATTAGAGGAAAAAATTGCAGGTGGAATATTTAAAAAAAAAAATCTAATCAACCAAAACTTTTGTGACCCCCATGAAGTACCTCAGCGGACCTCCTAGGGGTCCTGGACCCCCTGTTGAAAACCTCCGCTTTATACTTTTTGTTTTTGGAGCACATCGTTTTTCACTTTTACTTAAGTAAAGAGGTCAAGTTGATACTTCAACTTTTACCAGAGTGTTTTTAAACTGCACTATACTTAATTAACAAACGTCTGTACTTTTGACACCACTGCTCATTTCATTCTATCTTCCTGTGACCCTTCTAAAACCCTGAGTCATGCTTCTGATCGAAACAAAACCATGGAGGTCCAAACAGGATGGGATTTTTCATCTAGAAGTTGATTTATTGATTGTATTTATCTGAGCTGAGGAGATCTAGAAGCAGAAAGGGTTTCCTCTGGGTCCTACAGTCAGAACCTGAACTGATCAGAGACAGACAGGTGTCCCTCCAGGTGTCTAGGTGTCTAATGGACCGGAACCATAACCTGATCACCCCTTTCTATAAACCTTCATAATTTATTTTTTACACCCAGTTTCTAAAACTAACTATGAAAGGTCTCAATGCGCATGCGCAATGAAGGTAACAGTTTCTGTGCTCAGCAGGTGAGAAGAAAACCGCAGGTAGCTTTCAGAACCGAGCCGAATCGGACCTATGTGTGTATTTACACACCTGGTGGTCCACCTCAGAGCACAGACCCCTGCGGAGGAATAAACGAGCCGGAAACACACCTGGGCTCACCTGAGGGGAACCAGGAAGTGAGGCTAGCGGCTACGAGGGGCGCGGTCAGATGAAAGCTGCTGTTTAATCAGTTAACCCGAGATTTTTTATTGACCCAGAAACCAACAGGTTGTCTGTTTGGGTTTCCGGGTGAACTTTGTTGGTGAAACAGGTGCGTCGAACTTAGTGGACAGGTGGAAACTCTCTGGAAACCGGGTTAAACGCCTGACATTGAACGCAGCTTTGCTCAACAGCTGGCGGTTCGAACAGACCAGAACTGGTTCCGTTCAGCCGAACCAAGACACGGGCACAGAACCAACTGACCCAAAACAAACAGTCTAAGCAGCTAAATAGCTAACTAACTGTTTCCCTCAAAGCGACTAGAACCAGAACTCACCTCTTTGGCTTCGGACCGACCCACTGAAACAGAACCGAGCCTCCTACAGTCCAAAAAGTCCGAACACAGGTTAAAAACCATTCGGAACTAGAACCAAATCACTTTGGCTGGATCCAGTTTGGAACCAGCGTCGCAGTGATGATGCATTCAGGTACCGGTGGTAAAAAAGAAGTTTAGTCATTTTTACTGAACGTTCAAAGAACACCAGAGGGTTCGGTTCTGTAAAGTCACCCGCTGCCCGGTTCTACAGGGAAGTTTTCCTCTCAACCTATCTGTGGTTTATTTACACACACACACACACACAAAGAAAAAGGAAAATAATTTTTTTGTTTTTTCGGAAGAAAAACATGTTGCTTTTATTTTAGAAAGCCTTTATAAACTCCAACAATTGATTAAATGATTCGTAGAAATAAAGTTCTTGATATAAAGAAAAGGCTACTTTTACACAAAAATAATAAAATATTTAAATGATGGAATTAGCTTGCTGTAATATTTTGATTAAAACTAGTAGATTTATATATAACAAATTTTTTTTTTGTTGTTTTTAAAGAAACTAAAGATGTATGAGATTCAACAGCTTAAGCGGATCTCTGTGGACTCTTGAACCAGAAGTTTGGACTGTTCATGAACTCATCATTGATGTTGAGGAGGACTTTAAACTTCTGATGTCACTGACACTCAGGATTCTGCCTCCTCATTTTAGATCAGATTCTGGTTCAGTAGAACTGTTGGGTTCTATGGAGGTTCTGAGTTATTAGATCAGAATCATATTTAAAACTTTGACTGAACCGTTTCTGTTGGTGTAGGAAAACTTTTTCAGGGACTTTTTTATACAGACAATAATTTCTCCAGTTTAGGACAATTTCTCCTTCGCTCTTTTCTGCAGAACCATTCTGACAATCATCTAACCTCCTTTAATTTGGAAAAGATTATATATATATATATATATATATATATATATATATATATATATATATATATATATATATATATATATATATATATATATATATATATATATATATATATATATATATATATATATATATAAATATATATATATATAGAACTGTAAAAAATTGAAATTCTGTTTCTGTGGTGTTTCCTCAGCTTAAAGCATTGAAGTCCCTAAATCTGGTTCTTATCCGGTCCCCTTAGGAGAGAAAAGTCCGAAAACAGATGTTTGGTTTGGTGCAGACTTTAGAAGAACCTGAAAACTGAAGACTGTCTGCTGCGCTCAGGGTCTCCGCAAACGTGGAGAAGTTCTGATAGCAGGTGAATTGTCTTTCGACAGGAGGAACCAGGCTGATATCAGATTATTTCACAACAAATTACAGAAGACTGATTATTATTCCATCTGCTGAGATGTCATTGGGCCTTCATACAGAACTTTTCTATTCAAATTTCAACCGTCCTTCTGACACCTGACTGCACTGAAAAATGAAAGCTTCATCTAAACCAGACCTAAAGTATTACTTGCAGCAATTAAAGCTTTATTTAAATAAAACAAAAATAAATACATTTTAATGCTGAATCCCTGAGAAACGAAACTGCTATTTAAATGAAGCTTTTTTTTTAAAAGCTAATTAGATAATTTCACTCTGTGGGTGCCTCTGATGCGGCACGTCGGATAGATTTCTGATTTCCCACAGCCCTCCGCCCCTGAAGTGAGCACCTTGTCACGTGATGTTTTGGTCATCATGGCGGCCTCCTTCAGACGGCTGCTAAGTTTAGGGTCCTGGCTGCTTGTCATGTTGTTCTTTTGCGGGTCTCTGACTGAAGATGCGGAGGACTGCAGCCACCTGAGACTCGGACAATATCCTTACAGTCACGTGACGCTGCGTAGTTCACCTGTTCAGGACGTCGGTAGCTCTTAGCTTAGCTTAGCATCAACTGTCATTCTGATTTACCAGATGTTGTTGTTTATCTGTAGTTTTCTGAGCTAAACGAATAGAAATTACATTGTTTAGTTTTTTCTTCTGATCTAATTAATAAATAATTTATAAATCTATAATTTATATATTCTAATAATTTGCTAAAAATACAGAATGCATTATTAGCATGAAACATGCAGTCTAAATCATTTGATCTATAAATTCACAGAAACAGAAGAGATTAATTTTTGATCCTAAAATTAAAAATAATGACGTGAGCGGAAATGAATTTAATAACTGATAACTTTGGCTATTTAAGGTTCAACAGCATTAAAATGCTTCACTAGTTTTAAATAGGCCAATAACTAATCATATCTCTTCTTCAGTTTCAGTAAATAATTTCTTTATTTTCGATTTTTATTTTCACTAGTATGTTTATAGTTTATTTGTAGGTTTTTAGATTTAAAAACAAAGTTTTCATCACTGATTTTATAAAAATGATCTCTAATCTCAATTTTTCCTCCTTTTTTTCTGGATTATTTATGGTCCTGTTATTTTGGTTTGGGGAATTTCTAGAAAAAATAACATGAACCTGACTGGTTTCACTGTGAGGTTCTAGTCCGGCTTCATTATGAGTGGTTCTGTTTGACTCCTTTACTCTGATCACGTATCTCTGCAAAGATCCAGAGATCGATGAAGCCACGCAGGAGCCGAAGAACTGCCGGGACGGAGAGGCTAAAGGTGAGCAAAGGCCCGCTTCAAATTCTGGTTCTGGTCCAGCTTTTATCGGTTTGGTTTCCTGGTTCTGAACTGGATGTTACCTGAACAGACCCAAGCGTCCAAATGTGTCTCAGGTTGAAGGTAGATGCTGCTCTGTAGTCGGGTTCTTCTGATTGTGAAATCAAACCAGTTTAGCTCAGAGATGCTGAGAAGAACCGGATGTTTGAGTCCAATCAGAACCAGCAGCCTGCCTGTCCAGTGTCCTGGTTCCCTCTCTGTAAGCATGTCTCTGTGCCTGCAGTGGATTGCCACCCTGCTCCAAACGTCACCTGTCAGCTCTCCAACGGAACCGAGGTCCAGTTCAGCGGCGATGAGGTGGGCTTCCAGAAAACCATCTCCTGCAGGAACGTGTGAGTGTTTCCTTACTGGTTCTGAGGCCCAGCAGCCGGGTCGGAAACAGAACTCAGCAGGCAGATCTGTCTTTAACGACTCAGCCATCAGAACAGGAGCTCCGAACCGGGTCCATCTTGGTGTCATAAATATATTTTCCTCTTAGGAGCGGTTCTTCCTATAAGGTGGCCGTGGCTCTGTCTCTGTTTCTGGGCTGGCTGGGAGCAGACCGGTTCTACCTGGGATACCCGGCCCTCGGTACCAGCACACACACTCACTGCAAACATTAAAAACTTAACTTGGTCCTCACTCTTATTCTAAAACATGAGCATAAACACACTCGGGTCCGAATGGCTCTAAATAAATAAAAAAAAGTCAAAAAAATCATGATTTAATTTTTATCATTAAAATGCTAAATAATGTTTTCAAAGGTTGTTTTTTTCTGACTGATTCTATTGAACAGAATTAGAATTAAATTTTTCTGTTTAGGTACAAGAAAAATATGCTTATAATAGCTTGAAACTTTTGTTTATAGATTTTTATTGCATTTTTATTGTATTAATTTGACATAATTTTACTTTTCAATTTTCTTTAACCATCAATTAATGTTATATTTTGTAAGATTATTTAATATAAACTATTTGTTACAATTTTAAAACATTAGTTTTAATCGTTTTAATATTTCTATTTTATGTATTTTTTCTATAATTTTTTTCCTTTTCTTGTTTTGCTTATTTCATGTTTTATTTTTAATTATTATTAGTTCCTCAGATTTTTAAAAATGTATTTTTTGTATAAAGTTTTTAATGAAAGTTGCTGAACTGATTAAATTAAAAAGGACGGATGAGTGTGAGGTTTGGCTTAATGGCAGCAGAACCCGGTCCAAACCGCTGGATTCTTGTTCCTGAGGAACCGGTTCCTCGCTCTGCTTCACTTTCAGAAGGTTCTGGTTGGAGGACAGCCTGGTGATCTGGACTGGGTCTGTGTGGACCGGGTTGATAACCGGAACCGACCCACTCCAGTGAGTCGGTTCTGGTTATTCCTGCCTGTTGGTGTCATCACTGGGCAGCGAGATTAGCACCAGAACTTTAGCCCAGTTGGTTTAGAGATGTCCGATTCAAAGGTTCTGATGCTCGTGTCCTCTGTGTTTTCAGGTCTGTTGAAGTTCTGCACGGTCGGGTTCTGTGGGATCGGAACCCTTATCGACTTTGTTCTGATCGCCATGCAGGTGGGTCCAGATCTTTTCCTTCAATCAGGTTCTGGCAGGAAGTGACCTTTAGAACCCAGTGGGCCGGGCTGGAGCGGGCTGGCACCAAATTAACCTGAGGCGTCCAGCAGCGCTGCTGCTTTTCTCAGGACCCCAGAATGAGATGTTCTGGTTCTTATCCTGCTGGTTCTGGTTCTGAGAGGATGGGGATACTGAATCGGCAGGGGAAGGACTGGGTCACTATCCGGCCCGGTTAAACGGACCGGACCTTTGCTCTGAAATCGTCATGGTACTGATTGTTCTGCAGCTTTAACCTGGAAGTTAATCCAGAGAACTGAACCAGGTTGGTTCTGATTGGAGCTGCTGGTTTTTCCCTTTAAAGTCCAAAAGCAGAACTTCAGAATCAGAACATGTTTGTTTTTAGATTAAATCTATTTGGACTTAAACCCATTTGAATTTAGGCTAGAACCATTTTTATCAAACAGAACCTGCAGTTCTCTGAACCGGACCACTTCTGTGTCTCCTGCAGATCGTGGGTCCGGCTGACGGGTCCGACTACATTGTGGATTATTACGGCGCCCGCCTGACCCGCCTTTCCATCACCAACGAGACCTACAGGAAGCCTCACCAGTCCCTCTGATCGCCCGGGCCGAGCCGTAAGTCCAAGACCAGAACCGGCTTAGACTGTTTCTGGAGCTGTAGAAGCCGGGTTATGTAACTGGGTTTGGACCTGGTTCTGAAGCCTCTTTGGACCTCTAAGATCCAGAACCTACCTGATCCCAGACTCTGTTGTCCTGCAGGCATCTCCGTCCATTTTTTTGGACAACTGGACCTTGCCCACCGACTGGAGGAGGAGATAAAGGTCCAGTGCAGGTGTCCTTCATGTCCTCTAGGTGTCTTCAATGTGTCCTCCATGTTCTCCTGTGAAGCTCAGTTGTTCTTTTCTGTTTCTGCTCTAAGTTATTAAGTTTTGAATAAATA